TTTAACTATAAAAATTTAATTTCTTTTGACATTAAATTCCAATAAATATACATAGAAATACAATTAAAACTCAGGACATAAGACTATTAAACCATGATTATTTTGCAGACAAAATATAAATGTTTAATGCACATTATTGGGTAACATAACAGTGTTTATTGTTTTATTTTGCATGTTATAATGTTTCTTATGTTACGGTATTGATATTGTCACTACAGTTATATAATAAACTTTATGACTTTATTTGTACATTTTGTTCCTGGACGTTCTAGTGAAATTAATTTTTTACATCAGGGGGAAACTTGTAAAGTCATAATGCAAATTTTGTCAAAATTAAATCCACAAATATAGTATATACATATTAGAAAATTTATCATACCCAAGGTGTCTGTCAACCGATTAAAAGTGCAGTTTTTGCTATTCTAATGCATGCAAGTCAATTACCAATACAAAACAGAAAACGTCTTTGCTACTTAATTGACCCAGTTCTGTACCGTGTAGATATCTTATTAGTTCTAAGGCCACATTAAAAAAGAAGTTACATTTGATATTTCATATAATTGTTATTTCATTGGTTAAGATCATAAGACTTAAAGAACATGATGGATGTGTATGGTCATGTTACTTGGTATATAAGTTGTGTAATCAGGTTCTGTAGACCTCTTCATGTCTACTCATTGGTTGTTTGAAATCTGATTAAAATACAGATCCTGTGTCCAAGCTTTGCTCACAAGGATCTGAAAACACTTGGTTCCATTTTCTTTTCTTGTTCTCTTTATATCAGCCAATCAAATGGCTGCCTCCAGAAATTTGGAGGCGTGTGTCATTAGGACAAAATCCAAGGATCCCATAAGGTCTAAAAAACAGAAAGTAAAACGGAGCATTGTCAGATCCTTGTAGGCGAAGTGTGGACACAGAATATGTATTTTAATTAGATTGTAGTATTTGTTGAATGGTTTTTTTGCCCCACCTAGGGGCATTATGTTTTTCAGTCTGTTCGTCTGTCCGCTTCAGGTTAAAGTTTTTGGTCAAGGTAGTTTTTGATGAAGTTGATGTCCAGTCAACTTGAAACTTATTACACATGTTCCCTATGATATGATCTTTCTAATTTTAATGCCAAATTAGAGTTTTGACCCCAATTTCACGGTATACTGAACATAGAAAATGATAGTGAGAGTAGGGCATCCATGTACTATGGACACATTCTTGTTTTTGGTATTAGTTATGTTTTAGTTGACTGATATTGGTGGAGTGTAAGTTTTTATGCCCCCGCCATAGCAGAAGAGCATTAAGTTTTACCCTTGTACGTCCGTCCGTCCGTACGTACATCCCAAAGTTGGTTTCCGTTCTCTAACTTTAGTTTGCCTCAACCAAATGTTATGAAACTTATACTAAATGCTTATTACCACAAAACACAGATCAAGTTTGAATTTTGGTGGGGTCACTTTAACCGTTCTAAAGTTATGCCCCTTTACAAGTGGAAAAATTGCTGAATTTTTCGTTTCCGTTCTCTAACTTAAGTTAGCTTCAACCAAATGTTATGAAACTTATTCACAATGTGTATTACCACAAAATCCAGATCAAGTTTGAATTTGGTTAGCGTCACTTTAACTGTTCTAGAGTCATGGCCCTTTACAAATGGAAAAATTGCTGAATTTTTCGTTTCCGTTCTTAAACTTAAGTTTGCCTCTACCAAATGTTATGAAACTTATACACAATACTTATTACCACAAAACTCAGATCATGTAAAAATTTGGGTAGCGTCACTTTTACCGTTCTTCAATTATGTCCCTTTATAACTTTATATGATATGCAAGCTGGAGCATCATCTGTGTCCCATGAACACATTCCCCATTTATTTATATTAAGTCTAGCATTGGTTGTTTGGTATAAGTTGAGTATTTCTTATTTGATATTAGTTGAGTATTTCTTGTTCGGCATTAGTTGAATATTTCTTGTTTGATATTAGTTGAGTATTGGTTGTTTGGTATTAGTTTAGTATTTCTTGTTCGGCATTATTTGAGTATTTTTGTTTGATATTAGTTGAGTATTTCTTGTTCGGCATCAGTTGAGTATTTCTTGTTTGATATTAGTTGAGTATTGGTTGTTTGGTATTAGTTGAGTATTTCTTGTTTGGTATTAGTTGAGATTTTCTTGTTTGGTATTAGTTGAGTATTTGTTGTTTGGTATTAGTTGAGTATTTCTTATTTGATATTAGTTGAGTATTGGTTGTTTGAGATTAGTTGAGTATTGGTTGTTTGGTATTAGTTGAGTATTGGTTGTTTGGTATTAGTTGAGTATTGGTTATTTGGTATTAGTTGATGAATGGTTGTTTGGTACATATTCAATATTTGTTGTTTGGTATGAGTTGAATGTTTGTTGATTGGTATTCGTTGAATGTTTGATGTTTTGTAATATTTGAATTATTAGTTGTGTATAGGTTGTTTGGAAAAAAATAGATTAGAATCTAACCAGGTTTTATTAGAAATCTTCCTCTATAAAGCCACATTTTCATTATTTTTTTATTGGTGCTTCATACAGTTGTTGGTTACAAACAACTACGAAATATTGTGACGGGAAGTTTGTAGTAGGTCATGTGATAAGTACATTTCTTTTCATGTTGTTATTCCTCATTGGATATAATTAGATAATTAGTTTGACTTTGCCTTGTTATGAGATGAAAGATAACAGTACAGTCTAGTGATTATTATCAGATAATTATATTACATAATATAACCGACCTTCAGGGTGCTAAAAAATATTGTGGAATGGAAGTTTTATGTCTGAAACACCATGCATTTTTAATCGTTGGGAGCAAGGGATATTATTCCAACAAATACATATGGAAGGACTTTTGTCTGAAAAATTCATATAAAATTTATGTTATAACATGCAGTCACTAAATGCAGTCTGATAAATATTGTACAAAGTGACAATATAATGTATTTTATACTTAATCGCAATGCACTATTTTTACTCAAAGAAGTTAAGGAAGGAAATGTGAATTATAAATCGCTCTTTATTTGTTAGTTATCTATAATTTGTCATCAGTTGTTGGCCATAGCATAACATATTTTAATCAATTGATTGTTGTTTGGTTAATGTCCAGTGGCAAATATATCATGCATTTATCATAGGGGTAAAATGTTTTAAAGTCATATTTACTCTGTTATGTGTATTTGCCTGAAACTGTCCTGAATTTATTGGAATATTGCTTTAATTTAAAATATCTCTCAGTCCTACATGATAAAAAGGGATGTAATTGTTCTAAATCCCCTTTGCTGTTTAGTGGCAGAAAACTGACACACATATTGCTTAAAAGTTAATATACACACCGTAAAACAATGTGGTAAAGGAAAGGACATTTTTTCTGTATTTCCTCTGTTACTAGAGAAGACATTTATTGTCACAGAATAAAGATAATTGTTTTTCTAACAACATAAGGCCAATGGACACAAAGGCAAAAGTAATTTCTCTTGACAGTATAAGGTCAATAGGCACATTATATATATAGGTTAGATATAATAAAGCTCATTTTATAGAATGGACGTTAGGTAGTAAAAAAAGGGTTAAAAAATGAAATATTTCTTAAAGATGTACTTCTGATTAAAAAAAAGAAATATAGTTCAAGTAAAATGTACTTTATGACGAGGACTGTCAAGTTTATTTTCTTGTAGTTATCACTCTTAGCCAGTGTGTCGAGAGTAAGTATGATGTCTTTTTAATGATTTAAATCAAAGAACAACTATGAGGTGGTCATTTGTGGCAATTCTTGTCATTTTCAGACTTAACTGTGTACTTGTAAAATTGGTCTGTTGTTTTGGAAAAATAGCTTATTGGGTACAAATTTATTATCAGTGCTGGAAATTTGGCCTTGCAAAAGATGGACTATTGTATATGGGTGAGGATTGACCATTATGTATTGCAGGGAAGTACCATTTATATGAACAAAAGGAGATGAAGGGTATATGTCAATGAGACAGCAACCCAAAATCACAGACATCTAAAAGACATTGAGGTCAACATAGTCTTTTACAATAGACTGGTGTCTTTACAGAGACTGCTGTCTTTACAGAGACTGCTGTCTTTACAGAGACTGGTGTCTTTACAGTTTGTCAAGCTTAACAAGCCAGGAGTCTTTAACAATAGACTGGTGTCTTTACAGTTTGCCAAGCTTAACAAGCCAGGGGACTAAAGAGTTCAGAATTAATTAAACAGACAATAACAATAGACTGGTGTCTTTACAGTTTGTCAAGCTTAACAAGCCAGGGGTCTTTAACAATAGACTGGTGTCTTTACAGCTTGTCAAGCTTAACAAGCCAGGAGTCTTTAACAATAGACTGGTGTCTTTACAGTTTGTCAAGCTTAACAAGTCAGGGGTCTTTAACAATAGACTGGTGTCTTTACAGTTTGTCAAGCTTAACAAGCCAGGGGATCAAAGAGTTCAGAATGAATTAAACAGATGATCACAGATCTGTCATCAACTCAAAATATTCCCAATAACAAAAAGCATCAAAATAAGACAGTCTATACATGGCAAGGGGCCTGAATTGACAGACACTAGCACATGTTTGTTACTGGGTTAAGCAAGTTTTTAAAGGTGTCCCAGGTATCTAATCCCAATCAATGCTTCAACAAAAGATACAAAAAGAATGTACAATAAAAATCAGTGCAGAATATTTTATGGTGTTTAGTATTTGAATAAACCAAAGGTCAGATACTGGTATGTCTTTCTTGGGGACCACTGACCACATGAAATCACAAACGAACATCAATCTTCAGGTAAATCAGACTTGGAGTAATTCTAGTTAAAATTGCTTTGCTGGTTTCTTGTTTTACCATACCAAATTTCCAGTGAAAATTTGGAGTTATTTCTGTGAAAGACCACTTCATAAACTGCACAAGATGTCCTGGAAAAGCTGAAATAATTTAAAATCCTCATCTGCATGTTCTGTGTCATTGTATTATATATTAACATACATGTATTTGTATAATTTCAGGTGCCTTTGTATTTCCTTTTATTCTGATGTTGTTTTTACTGGGTATACCGTTGATGTTCCTGGAGTTGGCGTTTGGACAATATGCTGCCTTAGGACCTGCTGCCATCTTTGACAGATTTTGTCCTTTATTTACTGGTAAGTTACTTAAAGATCCGTTTTTTAAATGTTTGATAATTATCCTTATAAATCAAATATGGGTGAGGTCCATTTAGTAAATTTTAGACCATTTTATTGTGTTGTCTTGAAGAAAATAATGAAACTTTTTGCTCTGCCAGTTTATAAGAGAGAGTAATAATGTAGGTAAATATACATGTGATTTTATCCTTATCAATTATATTGAAGCCCAAACAAAAATATGGGTGTGCCTATGGTTACCAAACCAATTCCAAGTTTTGCTGCTGAGCTACAGATTTTATATGAACCTAAATAAAAAAAAATCTTGACACAAAATTTCCACATGCATGTCATTTCATTAACACCAATACTTTATTTTAAAAAGTACAAATGTTTGATTTTTAGGTATATATATTTTAGTAATTTGCATTTGTGTTTTGATACTTGTTGACTATAAAATTTTTTCTGATAGAATATTATGGAAATGACTGAACCCATTTTTACACACATTAATACACATACATCTATTTTTGAATGAGTGCCAGAGAGGCTAAAACTTGCTTTTCTAACTATGAATTGTACAAAGACAGTATTAATGTATGACTTTGTTTTGCAGGACTTGGCTATGGTATGATAGCCATATCTGGAATGGTTGCATTGTATTACACAGTAATTATAGGATGGTGTATACTCTATCTGTTTATATCCTTTACATCTGTGTTGCCATGGGAAGATTGCCATCAAGACTGGGCTACACCGTGTAAGTAGCCTCAATTCTTTCTCTTAAACATGTAAATAGACCTTCATATAATGCCAACTTAAATGCTCTGTTCTAATACATCTTTGATTGGATGATGTCTGCTGTCAATTCAAACATTGATAGTCAATTGAACACAATGTTGTGTAATTATCGTCACATTTCAGGAATATTTCAGATCTGTTATTTTAAACCATCTTTTTATACGACCGCAAAAAAATTTTTGTGGTCGTATATTGGTATGACCTTGGCGTCGTCGTCGTCCGAAGACGCATTAGTTTTCGCACTCTAATTTTAGTTTAAGTGAATGGATCTCTATGAAATTTTACCATAAGGTTCAATACCACAAAAGGAAGGTGGGGATTGATTTTGGGGGTTATGGTACCAACAGTTAAGGAATTAGGGGCCAAAAAGGGGCCAAAAATAAGCATTTTCTAGTTTCCAGACAATAACTGTGGAACGGTGTATGGATCTCTCTGAAATTATACTACAAGTTTCCATACCACAAAGGGATGGTTAGGATTTGCTTTGGGGGGTTATTGCTCAAACCGTTTAAGAATTAGGGGCAAAAAAGGGGGAAAAACAAGGTTGTCCTCATTAATGGACAAATACTTTAGTACAAAACATAATTTAAAGCAGTGTAAGGGAGATAAATCAAATACATCATTGAAATTATCTCCCTTACACTGCTTTTAAATTATGTATAAAGTAATGGTTAATGAACAATTAAGATAATTTAGAACAGTGTAAGGGAGGTAATCCAAATACAACGTTTTGGTTACTTCCCTTACACTGCTTTTAAATTATGTTTAAAGAAATGCATATTTATAAAGGAAGACCAGTATGGCACATTAGATTTGTAAAATCTTTGACCACATTTATTTATTTGTTATGCCGAATCTAACCGTGTATTTAGATTTTTAATTTTGGGTCCAGTTTTCAAATTGGTCTACATTAAGGTCCAAAGGGTCCAAAATTAAACTTTGTTTGATTTTAACAAAAATTGAATATATGGGGTTCTTTGATATGCTGAATCTAAACATGTATTTAGATTTTTGATTTTTGGCCCAGTTTTCAAGTTGGTCCAAATTGGGGTCCAAAATTAAACTTTGTTTGATTTCAACAAAAATTGAATATATGGGGTTCTTTGATATGCTGAATCTAACCATGTATTTAGATTTTTTATTTGTGGACCCCGCTATCAAATTGGTTCATATTGAGGTCAAAAGGGTCCAAAATTAAACTTTGTTTGATTTCATCAAAAATTGAATTATTGGGGTTCTTTGATATGCCAAATCTAACCGTGTAATTAGATTTTTAATTTTGGGTCCCGTTTTTTAAATTGGTCTACATTAAGGTCCAAAGGGTCCAAAATTAAACTTAGTTTGATTTTAACAAAAATTGAATTCTTGGGGTACTTTGATATGCTGAATCTAAACATGTGTTTAGATTTTTGATTATGGGCCCAGTTTTCAAGTTTGTCCAAGTTGGGGTCCAAAATTAAACTTTGTTTGATTTCAACAAAAATTGAATATATGGGGTTCTTTGATATGCTGAATCTAACCATGTATTTTGATTTTGGACATTGGACCATAATAGGTAAATTAAAAAAATTGAAGTTCTTAGACCACATTCTTTCTGTGTCAGAAACCTATGCTGTGTCAAATATTTAATCACAATCCAAATTCAGAGCTGTATCAAGCTTGAATGTTGTGTCCATACTTGCCCCAACTGTTCAGGGTTCGACCTCTGCGGTCGTATCAAGCTGTGCCCAGCGAAGCATTTTATTATTACTGCAATAGAATGAAATAAACTGGACTGTTGCCAACATTGTCGCTTCAATTGGATTATTACAGTTGCAAATATCTGTTTTACTGGTTCTGCTCCAGTAAAAGGTCATTTCCCTCTGTCAATTCAGTTGAAGTCCATGCTGCTTCAGATTCAGTGCTGCCGATGCTCCATGTTAACACTATTATTGTTTATATTTACAAACTGTTACTCTTACAGTGCTGCTGATGCTCCATGTTAACACTTTTATTGTTTATATTTTCAGACTGTTGCTCTTACAGTGCTGCTGATGCTCCATGTTAACACTTTTATTGTTTGTATTTTCAGACTATTGCTCTTACAGTGCTGCTGATGCTCCATGTTAACACTATTATTGTTTATATTTTCAGACTGTTGCTCTTACAGTGCTGCTGATGCTCCATGTTAACACTATTATTGTTTGTATTTTCAGACTGTTGCTCTTACAGTGCTGCTGATGCTCCATGTTAACACTATTATTGTTTGTATTTTTAGACTTGCTCTTACAGTGCTGCTGATGCTCCATGTTAACACTTTTATTGTTTGTATTTTCAGACTATTGCTCTTACAGTGCTGCTGATGCTCCATGTTAACACTATTATTGTTTGTATTTACAAACTGTTACTCTTACAGTGCTGCTGATGCTCCATGTTAACACTTTTATTGTTTGTATTTTCAGACTGTTGCTCTTATAGTGCTGCTGATGCTCCATGTTAACACTATTATTGTTTATATTTTTAGACTGTTACTCTTACGGTGCTGCAGATGCTTGTTCAGCTGTAAATGGAAGTATATACTTCAATCAGACTTGTTATAATGCTTCCATGGCTAATGAAATAGGCCTTAATCCTATGAAACTTAACCATACAGAAAGACATGCTCCTGCTCAAGATTATTTTGAGTATGTTAACAAATCAATTATATGCTTGTTGAATATTGCTATGAATGATGTTTTATAGTTGTTACAGGTAAGAATATCAAGTGACGATGAGATTTACAGAGTTTGCAATACAGAGATTCAGCTGAGACTTATGAATATCACAAGTAAAAGTCTAATCTAAAAAAAAATTAAAAAATTTGATAAACAAGTTACTGGAAGCCAAATTGTATAAGCAGTGCTCTTGAAAAACGTTGATCTTGACAGCTAACAATCTAGTAGGTCTGTCAATTTAGATTGTACTTGCAGTTTTGATGTTTAACTAAAAGTTTGTGTTGGTTTTGTTCTTTTTTGTGGCTTTCTTGTATTCAGATAACTGTTTATAGTATAGCTCATAATTATAACAATGTTTCATATGAAACCAGTTTTGTGAATAATCTTGGCAGCTTTATTTCTGGACACATGGCTCATTAGACTTTGCTGCCAAGGAATAAAGTTCTTTCAATAATAATATAATTGTCTCCCCTTAAAGATGTTGAAATAGCTAATCTTAGGCATGATGTTCATCCCCTCATCCTGATACATTGTTGTTTGAAACTATTGCACAATTGACGTTTTAAGTTTGTGTTTAGGTCAGTTTAAAGGAACCACTTATGATGAGTCAAGGGTATTTGGTATGCAGTGGTGTTTATTAGCATTGTCATTTCTCATTTGAACTGAGGTTCATTAATTGTCCCTGTACCCTTAAAATCATTTTCAGATTCTTATTAAAGATAATAATTTTGAACAAAAATATATTTATAGTATTTAGGCCCTTTGTAAGAAAAGCTATATGAAAAATTGCCTTGTAAGTGCTATCACACCTTGATGTATATAAGTTTATATGAAAAATTTATATCAACAATATCTTGTTCGAGTTTGAAAGTTAGTAGAGATCGATTAAACTTATGTGCATTTTCACTCATTGAAATATATATGTGAATAATTATCATGCATTTCACTCTTATATTTCCTGATGGTTTTGACTTGATTGATTGTTGGTTGCATATTGTCCAGTGGCAAATATTTCATGCACGTTCAGGATGAGGTTTTGACAATAAGTTGGATAGCTGTTATTTTATTTCAGAAGAACTTTTAGGTCTCTCTCCTGGTATAAAAGTCATAGACAATGCAATTTTGTATATTAAATGTTTCATGACTAAATAATGTTATATTTCAGGGTTGAAATTTTGGGTTTGTCACCTGGTATTGAAGTAATTGGCAATGTACGTTGGAAAGTTATTTTGTGTTTGGCAGCTGCCTGGACACTAACTTTCTTAGCATTAGGAAAAGGTGTCAAGTCCACTGGAAAGGTTTGTAATACACAATATTTGTTAAAACTTAAGCAAAAAGAGTCTAAAAATTGGTAACTATCAATTCAGCTGTGATTTGTCCATAGTCTTTTACTCCAAAATCAAAATTGCCAGGCAGGGTGCTGATTAGAGAGTACTATAAGCTTGGAACAAAACATAATCAGTTTTTCATTCAGATTTTGTGTTCATTCTAGCACAAGCATGCTCAAATATGGCACTATTTAGAAAGAGCTTACTTAGGATGCAATAAATTTATAAGTGTTATCAATTAAGATTTAAATAAAAAAAACTTCTGAAGAGAACTCAAGAAGCATATGAAACATATAAAGGTATTTCTAGAAAATCATTGAAATGCTTTTCAGTATTGTGTATTGAACATATTATTTTTCAGGTGGTATATTTCACAGCTTTATTTCCTTACTTGGTATTGTGTATTTTGTTTTTCCGTGGGGTAACCCTCCCTGGTGCTATGGACGGCGTCCTATATTATATCACACCAAGATTTGAGAAGTTAACTGATGCTAAGGTACGTAGATACTTCATATAGTGGTTCATGTTCCTTCATACATAATCATCATCAGCACTTTTTATACGACCGCAAAATTTTGCGGTCGTATATTGGTATGTTGGCGGCGTCGTCGTGGTATGTTAGAAGACACATTGGTTTTCGCACTATAACTTTAGTTTAAGTGAATGGATCTCTATGAAATTTTACCATAAGGTTAAATACCACAAAAGGAAGGTTGGGATTGATTTTGGGGGTTATGGTACCAACAGTTAAGGAATTAGGGGCCAAAAATAAGCATTTTCTAGTTTCCAGTCAATAACTTGTGGAACGGTGTATGGATCTCTGAAATTATACCACAAGTTTCCATACCACAAAGGGATGGTTAGGATTTGCTTTAGGGGGTTATGGCTCAAACCGTTTTAGAATTAGGGGCAAAAAAGGGGGAAAAACAAGGTTGTCCTGGTTAATGGACAAATAAATAGTTAAGTACAAAACATAATTTAAAGCAGTGTAAGGGAGATAAATCAAATACATCATTTAAATTACCTCCCTTATACTGCTTTTAAATTATGTATAAAGTAATGGTTAATGAACAATTAAGACAATTTAAAAGCAGTGTAAGGGAGGTAATCCAAATACAACGTTTTGATTACTTCCCTTACACTGCTTTTAAATTATGTTTAAAGAAATGCATATTTACAAAGGAAGACCAGTAAAAATATCTGCAAATGTTGCATCTTTTTTTTTTTGGCTAAAAAATCCATATGAAAGATTTGACACCATATTTTAAATTCTATTATAAAATAGATTAAGTTAGCACTATGGTAAATTTAAATGGTTAATTATGGTTGCAAACTCCATTGGAAATTTGAATCGAGACTATGACCATATCTTGAGGGAAAGAATTTTTTAGGGGAAAAAGGGCGGGGGTAAAAAGAAATTGTGGGGGTAAATTTTTTCTCATTTCAGATTTCAGAAATTAAAAAGAATTATTCTTCAAATATTTTTTTTTTTTCAAATTTCAAATATTGAAAAATTTCAAGAAGTAATCTTTGATTGCACAGTATGGCGCATTAGATTTGTAAAATCTTTGACCACATTTATTTCTTTGTTATGCCGAATCTAACCATGTATTTAGATTTTTAGTTTTGGGTCCAGTTTTCAAATTGGTCTACATTAAGGTCCAAAGGGTCCAAAATCTAACTTAGTTTGATTTTAACAAAAATTGAATATATGGGGTTCTTTGATATGCTGAATCTAAACATGTATTTAGATTTTTGATTTTGGGCCTAGTTTTCAAGTTGGTTCAAATTGGGGTCCAAAATGAAACTTTGTTTGATTTCAACAAAAAATGAATATATGGTGTTCTTTGATATGCTGAATCTAACCATGTATTTAGATTTTTTATTTGTGGGCCCTGCTATCAAATTGGTTCATATTGAGGTCAAAAGGGTCCAAAATTAAACTTTGTTTGATTTCATCATAAATTGAATTATTGGGGCTCTTTGATATGCCAAATCTAACTGTGTATTTAAATTTTAATTTTGGGTCCCGTTTTATAAATTGGTCTACATTAAGGTCCAAAGGGTCCAAAATTAAACCTAGTTTGATTTTAACAAAAATTGAATTCTTGGGGTTCTTTGATATGCTGAATCTTAACATGTGTTTATAATTTTGATTATGGGCCCAGTTTTCAAGTTGGTCCATGTTGGGGTCCAAAATTAAACTTTTTTTGTTTGATTTCAACAAAAATTGAATATATGGGGTTCTTTGATATGCTGAATCTAACCATGTATTTTGATTTTTGGGCCCCGTTATCAAATTGGTCTACATTGAGGTCAAAAGGGTCCAAAATTCAACTTTGTTTGATTTCATCAAAAATTGAATTCTTTGGATTCTTTGATATGCTGAATCTAACCATGTATTTAGATTTTGGATATTGAACCATAATAGGTAAATTAAATTTTTTTAAGTTCTTAGACCACATTCATTCTGTGTCAGAAACCTATGCTGTGTCAAATATTTAATCACAGTCCAAATTCAGAGCTGTATCAAGCTTGAATGTTGTGTCCATACTTGCCCCAACTGTTCAAGGTTCGACCTCTGTGGTCATATTGCGCCCAGCGGAGCATTTTATTGAAAATTGAAAAGAACCAGTGAATTATATTAAAGATTAATTGCATTTCTATTGATAATTAATTTGTTCATGAATTTCATTTGAAATAAAATCAAATAGATTTGTTTCATATGGAAATTCCGTGTTTAATATTTTGAAATACAAGTAAAAAATAATTACATTTTCACTTGAAGTTTGGTGAACTTCATTGGAAAAAATTGTTAATAAATTTTATGTTCATCTTGTGTAAAATTCTATCTAAATGGGATGTCCTGATGGTTTCACTGTAAAGTCGTGTGTTAATTACTGTTCACATGATTTATGAAATGTGATTACATGAAAATGTAGAAAAATACATATGCACACTCACTTCTGTATTAGAAAGAAGATTAGCAATCATACCTGCCAACCCTCCCGTTTTGAGTGGGAGACGCAAACAACGAAATTCCAGAAATCTCCCGCTTGCCGGTCCCCTCCCGCGCGGGAGTATAGAATCTCCCGCTCTTGGACAATTTTACCTGGAATAACCCGTGTTCGTAATTCTCTGGCATTTTCATTACTTTCAATAGAAATAAATAAACAATCAGTGATCATTTGAAAACTTTGATCACAGTAGTTTTTATGTTCGATATATGAGTAATCGAAATTCATTTCTGCTATGCCAACTCCAAGAAGATAGAGGTCTTTGTCTGAACCAAGCGGCAATGTAAAAGGAAGAAATAGATAACTGCAAATCGAAATGTCAAGCAGATTTGAATGAAAAATTTTGAATTTTTACGACCAAGTTCACTTGGCAATGAGTCTTTTTGCACATCATGTTCTATCAACTTTTCGATTTCTTCTGGTGGTCTGTACGATGTTTGAAAGCATGCTTATTGTGAGACTTACAACAAAATCAAAATATTGAATGTTATGGAATGTAATGGTATTGAAAAAGGCTAAATAAAACCCCACCTTGTATAGATTATAACCATGAATTGAAGAAATAAAGTATATATATTAACTCTTTTTGGTATTTTGTAGATGAATACGTAAACAGGTCATATATTTAACTTGAAAATGTCGTTTGCACAAATTCTCCCCCTCAGCTGTCATAGCTGAGGGGGAGATGTCCCTCTTTGAAGGTTTCAGAGGTTGGCAGGTATGAGCATTACATGTTTTTATCCCTGGTGGTCATTGTCATGTCTATATTTTATTTTTGGAAATATATATTTGAAAGTTGTTTGACGATAAAAACTCTCATGGAAATGAAACGTATAGTAATAAACTTATTATTTCTGATTTTCAACAATTCTCTTATGTTTGCTCGCTCTCATTTTATTACATCATTTCATTAAAACACGCAACTGATCAAGATTCTTCTTGAAAAATTTATAACATTCCCAATATGAAACACACCTTATTCCAGACTTATTATAAAAAACCTAAACACTTACTTCATAACTAAACTTATAACTTATGAATAAATAATTACTCATATAGCTCCTATATCTTTACATTAAACTGTCTTGAATGTGTAATAACTATATAAACTATGAATTATCTTGTTTCATCTAAACAACATGTTACACATGGTACGCTTTTCACTCGCAAGTTCACTATGATTACAACTTGTTTAAAACAATAAAAATAGTTCATAATATTCATAATTCAACTTGAAATATTTGAATTTTCACAATTCTTTAAAAAAAATAAAATGCACTTGACGAGGTGCAAAACAAAGTTGATTGATGCTTCAACTACATATCTCCAAATTTAGAGAATGAAATTTAAAAATTGATATACAATTAAGAAAAATTTAATAGAAAACAAACCTGCCTAGTAAACTGTCCAGATAAATAATGAAATTACTGGTGTATACATTTACAAAGACAACTATTCAGCCCAATTGATATCAAAATTGTTACGATTGTAAGTATACAAACCATCTACTTTTATTTTTTTGGTCATTATTTCTTTTTATTTAAAAAGCAAAAATATGCCAATAAAATCAAAATGTATTTATTTTTGTTATTATTTTCTTATTTATATACTTTTTGAATATCTAAAATCACTAAACAGTAATTTTTAAGAGTAAAGATAATTTATAAATGTAATTTCAATAACTGTACATGTACAAAGGGAAACAATTCTGTCTAAAAAAATATCAAAATCTCTATTTCTTATGTTACAGAAAAATCCTATTTGGTAGACCAATAAGTCTGAGAGATTAAATTATTTGGGAGTTTTAATTGGAATATAGTACAATGCTTAACACTAGATATTGATTTTACAAGAATATCACTTAAAAGTCAATAATGTATTTCTAATTTTACAGGTATGGTCAGATGCAGCAGCCCAGATTTTCTTTGCACTGAGTCCAGCTTGGGGTGGATTGATCACACTTTCAAGTTACAATAAATTTCACAATAATTGTTTAAAGTAAGTATCTTCTGTGTCTATCACAAGATCTAATCAACAGATGTTTTAAATGTATTGATTGAATTGGGACCAGATTTTATTACTATGACAGCCAAATTTAAAAAAAAAAATCTTTTTATCATAAATAAAACTAAAAGAATGCCTATAATGGGAAATGGGGAGTTACAAGAATATAATGAAGAATTATATTAAGTAAAGAATGTCTGTGCGTGTACACACAGTCTTTTACCATATATGTGGTCTAAAATTACCCACAGAAAAATATCATGTGGTGTTCAACCACCCAATACCTTTTCCCTGGAATAACTAAAATTAAATTCAACTAAAATATTCATAGTTTCTTATTGGTTGAAGGCACAGATTGATTTCAGATTTTTTTATTTTATTTTCCAGAGACTCGTTAATAGTATCGTTTGGCAATATTTGTACAAGTTTATTTGCTGGCTTTGTGATATTCTGTATCATTGGATACCTGGCCAAAGAATTAGACATGCCTATAGATAAAGTCGTAGATGAAGGTAAATATCATTGGATAGCCTATAGATAAAGTCACAGATGAAGGTAAATAGATCAAATAGACGTAATATAGAAACCCCTGAGACAAAGAATACATGCTGACAGATATAAAAAAAAAACATATTTTTATGCCCCTGCTGTGGTGGAGGGGGCATTAAGTGTTACCCTTGTCCTTTTCAAAATTAGTTTGCCTCAACCAAATGTTATGAAACTTATACACAATGCATATTCCCACAAAACACAGATCAAGTTGAATTTAGGTGGCGTCACTTTTACCAATTTGGAGTTATGTCCCTTTATAACGTTATATGCAAAAGAGGGGGAGGGGGAGGGCATCATCTGTATCTGTGTCCATGGGACACATTCTCCATTTATTTAATACATAAAATATGATTTATGGACTGACAGCAATGAATCAAAACACCAAAAAATAAATTAAATCACAGTTTTGAAATATAGAAATTTCAGACCTGTGATTTTTTATACGACCGCAAAAAAATTTTGTGGTCGTATATTGGTATGACGAAGACACATTGGTTTTCCCACTCTAACTTTAGTTTAAGTGAATGGATCTCTATGAAATTTTACCATAAGGTTCAATACCACAAAAGGAAGGTGGGGATTGATTTTGGGGGTTATGGTACCAACAGTTAAGGAATTAGGGGCCAAAAATAAGCATTTTTGTAACTTCCAGACATAACTTGTGAGCTAGTGTATGGATCTCTCTGACATTGTACCACAAGGTTCCATATCACAAAGGGAATGCTGGGATTGATTTTGGGGGTAATTGCCTCCAAATGTTTGGAATTAGGGGCCAAAAAGGGGCAAAAAACAAGCATTTTTCTAGTTTCATGACAATAACTTGTGTGTAAGCGTATGGATCTCTCTGACATTGTACCACAAGGTTCCATATCACAAAGGGAATGCTGGGATTGATTTTGGGGGTAATTGTCTCCAAATTTTAGGAATTAGGGGCCAAAAGGGGCAAAAAACAAGCATTTTTCTAGTTTCATGACAATAACTTGTGTGTAAGTGTATAGATCTTTATGAAATTGTACTACAAGGTTCCATATCACAAAGGGAAAGCTGGAATTGAGTTTGGGGGTAATTGCCCTAAACGTTTAGGAATTAGGGGCCAAAAAACAAGCACTTTTCTAGTTTCCAGACAATAACTTGTGTTCAAGTGTATGGATCTCTCTGAAATTGTACTGCAAGGTACCATACCACAAAGGGAAGGCTGGGATTGATTTTTGGGGTAATTCCTTCAAAATTTTAGGAATTAGGGGCCATAAAGGGGCAAAAAAACAAGCATTTTTCTAGTTTCAGGACAATAACTTGTGTGTAAGTGTATAGATCTTTATGAAATTGTACTGCAAGGTTCCATATCACAAAGGGAAAACTGGGTTTGAGTTTGGGGGTAATTGCCCTAAATGTTTAGGAATTTGGGGTAAAAAAACAAGCATTTTTATAGTTTCTAGACAATAACTTGTGTTTAAGTGTATGGATCTCTCTGAAATTGTACTGCAAGGTACCATACCACAAAGGGAAGGCAGGGATTGAGTTTGGGGGTGATGAATCATAATTTAAGTTCTTAGACCACATTCATTTTGTGTCAGAAACCTATGCTGTGTCAAATATTTAATTACAATCCAAATTCAGTGCTGTATCTAGCTTGAATGTTGTTTCCATACTTGCCCCAACTGTTCAGGGTTAGACCTCTGCGGTCGTATCAAGCTGCGCCCCAGCTGAGCATTTTATTTATTTTGGGCCCTGTTTTCAAATTAGTCCATATTAAGGTTTAAAATTAAACTTTGCTTGATTTCAACTAAAATTAAATTTTTGGTGTTTTTATACGCCCCTTTACGGGACGTATTATGGTATACCATTGTCCGTCTGTACGTCAGTCCGTCGACAACATGTGGGACATTAACTCAAAAACGCTTTTACCAATTTGCATAAAACTTTGGTGAATTGTTTATATCTATTGATGTGAGCTCCCTTTCCTTTTTTATAAATTTCAGATTTTACATTTCAGAGTTATGAGGTTTTATTCATTAAAAAAAGAGGAATTTTCCAGTTTTCAGACAATAACTCTAAAATTCTTTCACCAATTTGCAAGAAATTTTGGTGAATTGTTTATATCTATTGACATGAATTAAATTTCTGATATGACATTGAGAAGTGATTGAACTTTATTCTTTGAAAATGCGACAGGTGTATCATGCGCTCATGGCGCAGCTGTTTATTTTATATGCTGAATCTAACCATGTTAGATTTTGGATATCAGACCACTTAGTTGAATTAAATGTCCCATTTCAAATTTTTAAGATCTTTGACCACATTTATTTTGTGTCAGAAACCTATATTATGTCAAAAATTTGATCACATTCCAAATTCAGACAGTATCAAGCTTGAATGTTGTGTCCAAACTTGCCCCAACTGTTCAGGGTTAGACCTCTACGGTCGTATCAGGCTGTGCTCAGCGAAGCATTTTATTTCTGTCTATTATAAACAACACTTAACATTTTTATTTTAATAAATTGCATAATTTGATACAGAAAATATGTAAATTTTCCAAATTCAAAGGTATCTTAATCTGACACCAAAATAAAACCAAGACATGATTTTACACAAGGTATAACAGATGAAATTTTTTTAAAAATCACGGTAAAAATCAATTTCTACAAGTTTAAAGCTTGTAAAATGGCTCAGACAAGAGTCAATTCCATAAGTCATGTGATCATATTTGTCATCATTTAAGCTTTATAAATATTTCACAGAAGTTTTATGAAATAGGCTTTTGGACTTATGTCTTTTTAAAGATGCTCAATTAGTTCCTTTTACTATTATACTGTAACACAATATCATGGATATTAAGAAGGTTTTTCATTCAGACTTAATTGTCAGTGCACCTATATAAGGGAAATAACTCTGAATGGTTCACTACTTTTTCAGGTGCTGGTTTAGCCTTCGTAGTATATCCAGATGTAGTTACCAGATTACCAATATCTCCACTGTGGTCTATTTTATTTTTTATTATGATGATTACACTGGGAATGGGTAGTGAGGTGAGTTAACAGTTAACATGTGATTACATGTACTATAACCAAAATGCACAAACCGATTAGTACAAATATAAAGACTATAATCAAGTATGAATCCATTTGCACAAATATAGGGACTATAATAATAAGTACAAACATATTATTACAAATATATGGACTAAAACCAATCAGTACAAACCCATGAGTACAAATATAGGGACTAAAAAATTCAATATATGGAAAAGTTATGGAGTTGGCATAAAATCTACCCTCCCATAACCTTGAATAGTGAAAAAACAATAATTGCATAGATATTGATGATATCAAAAGAGCACTAAAAACTATTTAATAGCATACTGCAGATAAAGTGGTTCAAAATTAACTTTTTTCTTGCTGCATGTGTAAATATAGAACAATATTTTATTTTTAGAACTATTTTTATACGACCGCAAAAAAATTTTGAGGTCGTATATTGGTATGACGTTGGCGTCGTCGTCGTCGTCCGAATACACAATGGTTTTCGCACTCTAACTTTAGTTTAAGTGAATGGATCTCTATGAAATTTTACCATAAGGTTCAATACCACAATAGGAAGGTGGGGATTGATTTTGGGGGTTATGGTACCAACAGTTAAGGAATTAGGGGCCAAAAAGGGGCCGAAAATAAGCATTTTTGTAACTTCCAGACATAACTTGTGTGTTAGCATATGGATCTCTTTGACATTGTACCACAAGATTCCATATCACAAAGGGTCAATGCTGGGATTGATTTTGGGGTTAATTGCCTCAAAATTTTAGGAATAAGGGGCCAAAAGGGGGCAAAAAACAAGCATTTTTCTAGTTTCATGACAATAACTTGTGTGTAAGTGTATGGATCTTTCTGAAATTTTACTACAAGGTTCCATTTCACAAAGGGAAAGCTGGAATTGAGTATTGTGGTAATTGCCCAAAACGTTTAGTAATAAGGGGCCTAAAAAGGGGTTTAAAATAAGCATTTTTTAGTTTCTAGACAATAACTTGTGTTCAAGTGTATGGATCTCTCTAAAATTGTATTACAAGGTACCATACCACAAAGGCAAGGCTGTTATTGAGCTTGGTTTGGGGGGAAAGGGGGGTGGGGGTGATGAATCATAAGGGGGGCGGGGGTCAAAAAAGGGGTAATTTTTTTTTTTCCTTTTTTTTTTGCTTAAAATTTACATTTTAAGTTAGTTATTTTTTATCACGAAGAGAAAGTAGGAATTGAGTTTTGGGGTTAATTGCTCAAACATTTATGAATAAGGGGCCAAATATTGGTCAAAAATAAGGATTTTTTTAGTTTGCAACAAAAACTTGTGTTCAAGTGTATGGATCTCTGTGAAATTGTATTGCAATGTACCATACCACAAATTGAAGGTTGTGATTGAGGTGGGGGATGATGAATCAAAAGGGGTTGAAAAAATGTGTGGGGGGTAGGATTTTTTTTTTTCCTTTTTTTTCTTTAAAATTTTCCATTTAAAGATGGTTGTTTCAGATTTATATATGAAAGAAAATAATAATGATACGGTTATATATCATGAGGAATTGAAATTTAAAATTATGTATATTGGAAATTTAGGTTACATTGGAAAGTAATAATTGGCTTTGGGGGGGGGGTTATGGGGCTCTAATGTTTAAGGAATAAGGGGAAAAAAGTTTAAAAAACAAGGGTTTCCATTTTAATAGACAAATAATTGAGTAAAGAACATTATTTAAAAGCAGTGTAAGGTTGGTAATTCAAACTCATTTAAATATCTCATCTACACTGCTTTTAAATTATGTAAATTGGAAATTTGCCAATAACTTTATTGTTAATAAATGCATTGGAAATTTGCCAACAATTTTAGTGTAATAAACTTCATTGGAAATTTGCCAATAAAAAAAATTTTTGTTTATTTTTAGCTATGATTATGATGTCATTTTCTATTTTACTTTTATGGTTGCAAAGAAATTTTTATTTTTAGATATTACTGTTAAATGATGCTGATTAAGGTTTTTGCTATGTTTAGCCATGACTATGATGTCATTTTCTATTTTAATATCTGTTATGATGTATTTAAATGGGCTTTTATGGTTACAAAGGAATTTTATTTTTAGATATTACTATAAAATGTTGCTGATGCTGATTAAGGATTTGTTTATTTTTAGCCATGACTATGATGTCATTTTCTATTTCAATACCTTTATGATGTAATTTCCATTTTTAGATATTACTGTTAAATGATGCTGATTAAGGGTTTTTTGCTATGTTTAGCCATGACTATGATGTCATTTTCTATTTTAATATCTTTATGATGTATTTAAATGGGCTTTTATGGTTACAAAGGAATTTTATTTTTAGATATTACTTTAAATGTTGCTGATTAAGGATTTTTGTTTATTTTTAGCCATGACTATGATGTCACTTTCTATTTTAATACCTTTATGATGTATTTAAATGGGCTCCCATGTATTTAGATTTTTGATTATTTATACATGTTACCAAATTGGTCCACATTGAACAAAAACGGTCCAAATTTCAACTTTATTACATTACATCAAACATTGAATTCTACATATTCTTTGATATATTGAAATTAACAAACAATTAAGTTTATGGATATTCCACCATAATAGGTAAATTAAATTTTTTCCAGTTCTTACACCACATTCATCCTGTGTCAGAAACCTATGCTGTGTCAAATATTTAATGACAATCCAAAGTCATAGCTGTATCAAGCTTGAATTTTGTGTCCATACTTGCCCCAACTGTTCAGGGTTCGACCTCTGCGGTCGTATCAAGCTGCGCCCCAGCGAAGCATTTTATTTAGTAATAAAATTTGATTAAAGTAAGGTTAAGGAAGTTGATAATTGATGAATTTATTTCCAGTTTGCTCTGTTAGAGACCTGTCTGACAGCCATTCAGGATACATACCCGTCATTGAGGAAGAAGAAAGTCTGGGTAGTTCTGGTCACCTGTATCATAGGATTCTGTGGTGGCATCATTGTTACAACTCAGGTAAATAAGTCTGGGTAGTTCTAGTCACCTGTATCATAGGATTCTGTGGTGGCATCATTGTTACAACACAGGTAAATAAGTCTGGGTAGTTCTGGTCACCTGTATCATAGGATTCTGTGGTGGCATCATTGTTACAACTCAGGTAAATAAGTCTGGGTAGTTCTGGTCACCTGTATCATAGGATTCTGTGGTGGCATCATTGTTACAACTCAGGTAAATAAGTCTGGGTAGTTCTAGTCACCTTTATCATTGTTACAACACAGGTAAATAAGTCTGGGTAGTTCTGGTCACCTTTATCATAGGATTCTGTGGTGGCATCATTGTTACAACTCAGGTAAATAAGTCTGGGTAGTTCTGGTCACCTGTATCATTCTTACAACACAGGTAAATAAGTCTGGGTAGTTCTGATCACCTGTATCTTTGGATTCTGTGGTGGCATCATTGTTACAACTCAGGTAAATAAGTCTGGGTAGTTCTGGTCACCTGTATCTTTGGATTCTGTGGTGGCATCATTGTTACAACACAGGTAAATAAGTCTGGGTAGTTCTGGTCACCTGTATCTTTGGATTCTGTGGTGGCATCATTGTTACAACTCAGGTAAATAAGTCTGGGTAGTTCTGGTCACCTGTATCATTGGATTCTGTGGTGGCATCATTGTTACAACTCCGGTAAATAAGTCTGGGTAGTTCTGGTCACCTGTATCATTGTTACAACACAGGTAAATAAGTCTGGGTAGTTCTGGTCACCTGTATCATTGGATTCTGTGGTGGCATCATTGTTACAACTCAGGTAAATAAGTCTTGGTAGTTCTGGGCACCTGTATCATTGTTACAACACGGGTAAATAAGTCTGGGTAGTTCTGGTCACCTGTATCATAGGATTCTGTGGTGGCATCATTGTTACAAATCAGGTAAATAAGTCTGTGTAGTTCTGGTCACCTGTATCATTGGATTCTGTGGTGGCATCATTGTTACAACTCAAGTAAATAAGTCTGGGTAATTCTGGTCACCTGTATCATAGGATTCTGTGGTGGCATCATTGTTACAAATCAGGTAAATAAGTCTGTGTAGTTCTGGTCACCTGTATCATAGGATTCTGTGGTGGCATCATTGTTACAAATCAGGTAAATAAGTCTGTGTAGTTCTGGTCACCTGTATCATTGGATTCTGTGGTGGCATCATTGTTACAACTCAGGTAAATGCGCACTTATTTTGCCTACTAATTTAATTTTTTATAGGGTTAATTTATTACTACTAGAAAGTTATTAGTTAGCCACAGAGATGTTGACAGGGACTACCCCATATGTACAGATTGCTTCTGCTACCAGCTCTAAATTTTGGGGTCAATGTTTGCACAACTTCAGTTTGAGTATACATTTTGTCACAACTTGTAAAGGATGTTGCAATGGTCTGCTTGATGCATACTGATGTTCTAAACTAGTTTCTTCATGTGACTGAATTGTTTTGAATTGTTGTCGCACTGGCAATCATATCTCCTTATTTGATACAGCTTGATAATGGTTCTTGTTTGTTCATGTTACAAAAAATTTCCCAAAATTATAATAATTCACATATTCTTTCCTTCTTTTAAACTATAAATTCTGGAAAAAATTTCCAAACAGATATGTTCATTTGGGCCGTAAAGGTTTACCCTTATCAGTCATTTCATCATTCCGCAACAAACAGACTTTTTTTTCTAAACGCCTTCACATACTTAGCTGATTTTTAGTATGTGAGTCTTCTATGATGAAGAGTTTACGTTTTGTACTGCTCCGCAGAATTTTGCCAAAATTACAGGCTTTGGATTTTGAAAATAACAGTTAAAACAGACTTTTTTCTAAATGCCTTCACATATTGAGCTGATTTTTTGCAAGTCTACTATGATGAGTTACAGAGCGAGCTCCGCTGATTTGTGCCGAAATTACAGGCTTTGGACTTTGAAACTTTCGTGAAAATAACAGTTATTCAGACTTTCATTCTCAAATTTCCACTCCTAAAAATGGCTTCAAGGCTTTTTTTGCAAGCGGGGTCATTCTTGTCATTCCAACACATCTAGTTTCTCTATATGTTACACTAATATATTTTAAAAAATTGATATTTTGTATTTTTCACTATTGAATATTTATTTTCAACAATTAATTGACAATAAGGCATTAATTAATTATGTGTAATATTTCACAGTTGTATGTTGCTATGTAAAATCGTTGATGGACAACTTCTAAATAATTTTTCAGGGTGGTATGTTTGTGTTACAATTGATGGACAATTACGTTTCTAGTTGGTCGGTGTTTATCATGGCTGCCGGAGAAAGTGCCCTGATTGGCTGGGTTTATGGTATGTATTCAAACTTAGAGTCAGATTAATGTGTTTGGGTATGTTTCCCAAAGACTTGTGATGTAGCACATTTAAAATCCAGCTTAGGATATTGGACCAGTACAGAGAAGTATTCATATCCACTGGATCTAAATCATCAACCCATCCGTCAGTCTAGCAGTGGAACCACTTTAGTTATCAGACTGAATATGAAGGAGATGTGGGATTTTATCAGACAGAATATGAAGGAGATGTGGAATTATGTCAATGGTCCGAGTACACAGTTATCGTCCTTTGATTTTCTTTGTCCACGAATATAGTCCCTAGTGTGGACAGTGTGTTACTTGCCAATTTTTTTTATACCCCTTCCAAATTTATTTCTTCATGTTTTATGCCTCAAATAGCAAGTAGGGGGATAAAATTACACTGTAAAAAATTTGATTTATGAATTTTAAAATAAAGTAGTGATTTGGTTCAGCTGGAAAAGGTTAAAAATTAGCATTTCGGAAGCTGTCAAAAGATTTCAAGACCCCCTTAACATAAAATTATCCATATTTTGAGTTAGAGCCGATGAAGTTTTCTATAATTTTGATACAATTTGTCCCAAAAGTAGTACAACACACTGTAAAAATATTATTGAGAAAGCGCAGGTGGGATTTTTTTTATTTTCATTTATTGTCTAAAAGAAATGCACTACGAAATAACTGTGTACTCGGACCTAAGAGGTGAAATCAGTAAATATAGAATCTGTACTTTGGCAACTTCCCTGAATGATTTAATGGTGTCAATTTGTCAAATAGCATGAAACTAAAGGATGTTAACTTTTATTTGATAGAAATTCTGCAAAAATGACCAATTTTGGCATTATATGGTCAAAATAAGTATTTCATAGCTTTTTCAATTTTGATGCTAAAGTGGCATTCTGACTTTTTATCTGACAGGTTTTCATGTGTCAATATTTGTGTTGCTATGCTTTAATCCAGTTGTTTTACTCATTTGTGGACTCTGAATCTACAGAAAAGAAGATTATCTCAGACAATATGTGCAAAATGTGTTGTATAAATGACCCTCGTCTAACGCCCTGTTTGGATCAAGTTAAATGTGAGGAGCTTGGTATATAAAAGTTGAAGTCCATAATAAAGACCTCACTAAATTTGTATAAAAAACACTTTACAATGTCTTTTGTACCTGTTTCATTTCACATAATATCTTTCTTTTCTTCTGTAGGATAGAAAGTGGTTCAAATATAAGCCTGTTGAGACTAAAATTGCATGCAAGTTTTTCACTAAAAAGTGAAAAATCTTTGAATCAGACCATACTGTCTGCAAAAAATGTTGAATGCAAGAGTGCTCAGATTTATTGTATCATGTCACCTGAGTATAGAAATGATGAAAAAGACACAAATGTTTATTTCCTATAGCTTCAGTATGCATTTTTTAATGTAAATATGTGCTACGACCTAAATTGACCCTTAATTATTTTCAGTCTTACTTGGCCTAAGACCCTTTTAAACTAATATGATAAGCTATTTGTAGTTTTTCTTTCCATTTAAAGTACATTAAATACATATGTAAGGATTATTTATAACCAAAAAAATTCACAAATTTAAAATTGCTGGAAAATATTACATCTTCATGTAAGCCCCCCCTTCATTGGAAAACCTCCATTTTTAGGCACAGGGTTATATAAATTTGACTTTTGAATAATTATGCTAAGTTTGATAAATCAAATGAGTATTCTATTGCTTTCAATACATGATATATTATATATAAAGGCATTTAAAAAGTATTTTTTTGCAATATTTTGATTTTTAAAGCCCCAAATGTTGATAGTTGAAATTTTTCAATTTTAACGTCAAATTTTAACAAGCAATGTTGAATATAGAATTTATCATACTGTCTATAATATATATCCTATTGCCATGAAACTTTGTAAGCAGTCTCATAATTTATTAAGCTTAGGTCATACCAAGTTTTATTAAGATTGGTCAACTTTTTCTATCCTATTAGGTCCGAGTACACAGTTGTCGTCCTTTGATTTTCGTTGTCCACTAATATAGTCCCTAGTGTGGACAGTGTGTTACTTGCCAATTTTTTTTATACCCCTTCCAAATTTATTTCTTCATGTTTTATGCCTCAAATAGCAAGTAGGGGGATAAAATTACACTGTAAAAAAATTTGATTTATGAATTTTAAAATAAAGTAGTGATTTGGTCCAGCTGGAAAAGGTTAAAAATTAGCATTTCGGAAGCTGTCAAAAGATTTCAAGACCCCCTTAACATAAAATTATCCATATTTTGAGTTAGAGCCGATGAAGTTTTCTATAATTTTGATATAATTTGTCCCAAAAGTAGTACAACACACTGTAAAAATATTATTGAGAAACATAGGTGGGATTTTTTTTATTTCCATTTATTGTCTAAAAGAAATGCACTACGAAATAACTGTGTACTCGGACCCAATGAGCTAAACAATACAAAAAACCATATGTCACACAATTACTTTTAGAAGAAAGTAGTAGTGGATAAAATGAAGAGACAGATTTACCATTGTAGTCTTCTTTCATGGAAATCAGTCTATGACCAATGGTCTGTACTTTTAATGATCTACTATTTTTTATTTGATGAAAGACCTGCTGAAAAATATTCTTAATTGCTTTATTTTGTAAAATTAAGAAACACATACTCTAATACAGGTAGAAAATTCTTCTTAAAGGAGTAGGGGCAATATGGCCCAAATATTACTTCAAATTAAAAAGTTATCATACCTATTCTTAAATTTGTCCTAACTAGACTAAGCTACAAGGTATTCAGAAAATAAAAGCAAATTCTAAATTTCACGAGTTACCATGACATGACGAAATTTGTATATTTTGTAAAATTTCTGTATTTTCTTTGTTTTTTTGTCAAATTTTAAGTATATTTTAGATTAACACAGTATGTGCGCACCCAAGAAACAACTTTATATTTGGTGAAATTATGTCAATAATTATAAAAAATCTTCTCTTAAATTATTTTGTTGTTTCTTGGCTGCTCACGATGTTTCCGCAATGGAAATAACGATGGAAAACTGCACAAGTTCTGTATTTTTCATCGTTTTCATGAAAACGGTACATATTATGACGTAAATATAACGTCATCAGATAAAAAATCTGATGTTTTTCATTTATATTTCTTGACTCTATGTATTTTCAAACATTATGTGCCAATTTGGAATGGTTGTCAAACATTTTATTTTCTTGGGCCAAAACCGGGCCTTAATGCCCTACTCCTTTATGAATTCCATCAGATATTGCACAGATAATACAAAATTTAAAATAATTGATTCATTTATTCATTTATTTTTGTGGATAATTAATTTTGGGGTTTTGACAGTCTGCATACAAGCCTATAAAAGATGTGTACCTCATCAAACAATTCAATTTGTGATTCACCCTTACCCACGAAATCCATGATCATTGGTACCCCATGAATAATAATAGTGGATGCAGTAAAAAAAACTACATGAATTATTTTCATAATTTGAATTAGCTTCATATTTGATACAACTGCTTTAAATGAGAGGGATATTCTAACTTTATAATTTTCTGGCTGACAAATTAAACAGACTGATGATAATTAGCTTTTATTTATTTGTTAACAGGAGCAGACAGATTCTTACAAGACGTACAGATGATGATTGGTCCAATGTCAAGAAAAACACAAATATTCTTTACAATCTTCTGGAAGTTCTTATCTCCCCTTACACTTGTTGTAAGTAAATTTGATATTTTTATCTTCCCTTTCACTTCTGAGTAATTATGATATTTTTATCGCCGATTACACTTGTAAGTAATTTTGATATTTTTATCTCCCATTACATTTTCAAGCAATTTTGATATTTTTATCGCCCATTACACTTGTAAGTGATTTTGATATTTTTATCGCCCATTACACTTGTAAGTGATTTTGATATTTTTATCGCCCATTACACTTGTAAGTAATTTTGATATTTTTATCGCCCATTACACTTGTAAGTGATTTTAATATTTTTATCTTCCCTTTCACTTCTGAGTAATTATGATATTTTTATCTCCGATTACACTTGTAAGTAATTTTGATATTTTTATCTCCCATTACATTTTCAAGCAATTTTGATATTTTTATTGCCCATTACACTTGTAAGTGATTTTGATATTTTTATCGCCCATTACACTTGTAAGTGATTTTGATATTTTTATCGCCCATTACACTTGTAAGTAATTTTGTTTATCGCCCATTACACTTGTAAGTGATTTTGATATTTTTATCTCCCATTACACTTGTAAGTGATTTTAATATTTTTATCTCCTTTGCAGTTGTGTATTTATTGTTATTAATTGATGTAATGATTAGCAACAAATAATTTTCTGCTCATGGCAAAGGAACTGCCTATCTCCGTGAGCACCTGAACTAACCCCTGGATTATGATTCTGTTTATAGTATTCCTTTCATTTCTTTTGATCAAAGACGGTTAACATTGATTTCCTTACTTGATAGACTGAAAATTTAAACAAACGAGATTTCCTGTCCTGGTTAATGGGATGATTGATATAAAAATAAGAAGATGTGGTATGATTGCCAATGAGACAACTCTCCACAAGAGACCAAATGACACAGAAATTAACAACTAGAGAACACCGTACGGCCTTCAACCATGAGCAAAACCCATACCGCATAGTCAGCTATAAAAGGCACAAAATGACAAATATCAAACGAGAAAAATTAACAGCCTAATCTATGTACAAAATAATGAATGAAAAACAAATATGAGAAACAGCAAAATACTTCAACCACTGATACAGGCACATATAGAATGTGGCGGGGTTGTGATGTCTGTTTTACCCTGCATCACCACAGATGTCTGTTGTGAAAAGAAAAGGTCTTGATAGTCTAAGGGTCTTTATTTTGTAATTTTTACCATGAAAATAAATGACCTATTTATATACAACATTTCAGTTTTCCAATAGCAAAGATGTCCAATTAATTGTTTTAATGAAAAAAAGAAAAGCTTATGGTTCAGATATATGAAATATTGTACTTTTATATATATTGTTTTTTTTGTTTCAGTCTGTGCTGTTGTTTAACCTGATCCAGTACAAACCTCTGGCTTATGGAAATTATACCTATCCAGGCTGGGCCAATGGACTAGGATGGGTCTTGTCACTCGTACCTATGATTATTATTACTGTTCTCGCCATAAAGAAAATTTACTATACTCCCTCTGGCAACATGTCACTTTTTCAGGTAAGTTGTGATAAAGAGAATTGCATTTGAATTTTGATTGTGATAGTAACACCAATAAGTAAGTAAATTGTTTATTATAGTGACATGTAAATAAACATAAATTTATATACAAACCTGTATTAAGCAGTCACTCTTGGGAAGTATTGAAAGTGACCGCTCAAGAGAGGGGTGACCTTTTAAACGACAAAATAGAGTTTACTGAAGATTTAGTATCTACGTAATGTTTTCATTTGGCAGTCATCAAATTTATAGTAGATGCTTTAAAAAAAAACTTACCACAAACAAAAAGAAGAATGAAAATCATAAAATAAAAAGATGGTATAAGAAGTAAGATAAGAGAATTTAATTTTGATTCCGGGTGTTAGAACAATAAAACACAAGCTTTATTGAATTTCCAATATTTAAACATGCAAACAACATATTCAAAGCATCAAAAATACCAATTGCATAACAGCAACATTTCAAAATTTTCCATGATTAAATAAAATTCATCAAATATGAAAAACTGTTTCAGTTGTAAAATAATTTGCAAAACTGTTCCACAGTGTAGCTGTTGCAAATTAGAATAGTTTTTACTGTAACTTGAGGTTTTTACTTGAGGCACATCTAAGCTAGTATATATGAATATCAGAAAGAACATTTTGAATTTTTGATATGTAGTGAATTGTGTATTTTATTTATATTAAAAGCATAGTTCTCATTCTTCTGATCTGCATTGAAGGCATGTTAGCTATATTCAGTTGTTCCTCGTATGAACTAGTTATATCAACTTACACAAAATAGAGTGCTCTTTATTGCTTTTATCTTCTGATTTTATGAATTTTTCATTGTTCAAAAATGCCAGGCAAAAGGGCAAAAAACTTAAATTCAAAATGCTAAATATAAATGTGAAAAAAATTATTTTGTTTGTTTATTGAGTATTTAGATAAGGGCCAAATATTTTGATTTATTCAGTCACTATGATGCCTTCTTACAGATCAGACTAATATGTTTATCAAAACTCAACTAAAAATCAATATTTATTCCTTAAAGTTAGAACAGTAATATTACACGTTAGTTCAGAATTTTGAATATATAAATTTGATATGCTTTCTATATTTTAAGTGGTATTTAGTTTATAAGTATAAAACGAAGTACTAGAATAAAAGGAAACACTAAATTTATTTATTGATATAAAAGTGAAAGCCCAAAATCTGGATAAAAAAAAAAATATGGAGAACAATTTATTTTTGGTTGCTTAAATTTGAAACTAAAAATAAAACGAAAAAAACAAACCATTCTAATATAATTTGTCTAAAACATCTTTAAAGTTTCATATTCATATGAAGTTTCTAAGTATATTACATTTTGTTTTGCAGAAAATCAAATTTTTATTGAAGCCATCACCAGCTTGGGGACCTGCACATAAAGTTCCACACTTTAAAATGGAGGATGATGATGATGAAGATGATGGAGTTGTATCTAATCCAAACTTCACTATTACCAATATACGTGAAATCTCAGCTTAGTTCTGGGTCAGGGGTTTTTCTGTTTGATACAGCACCTTGTGTGTAATGCTCAATAACAAGAAAAATAAATTATTGCCTTGTTTTTATATGGCTAAGCAGCATTTATGTTCAGATATTTTCAGCCAATGTGAATGTTTCTGATTTAAGCATTAATGTCCTTATGTACATATTGTTTATGGTTAAGTCCAACCAAATATTAATACATGTATTTATAAGGTTATCAAGCTCAAGGACTTCAGCATCATGTTCAAAAGTTAATTCTTGTACATCAACAATGATAAAAAGTTTGAAGTTTTTATGTTAAAGTATTTGAATCTCATGAGGAAATATCTTATTATTGAAATGTGTTGTAAAATTTGTTATTTTTGATAGTTTTGTATCAGTTTTGAAGATTTCTCCAGGTAAAGAATCTCTGAATGATATATTTTAAAATGTTATTTTATGAACAGTTGTTAAAAGTATGTCATTTTTGAAGTCTTATTTCATTGTTAATTAAGTATTATACATGTATTATGAATGAAATTGTTGACAATTTGATTGTTTATTTGTGTTGAAAATGAATTCAGAACTATCAGCTTTAAGTAAAATTGGTCTTTATATGAGATGCGTCAGACAGAAATCGGCAGTATGCAAATGAATATCAATATATCTGTTAACTTATTTCCAGTTAAAAAAATCTCTTTGCAAAGTCTGCAACTGTTTGAAAATTGAGTCGCTACAAGAACCCTACAAAACAGACCAAAATTCATCTTTTATTTCATAATTGAATGTTCAAAAATCAATCAAAGTCTTATACATGTACGTGTATACGTGCACTTGCATAAGGTCAATTTCTATCTGACACAGCTCATTTGATGAATGTATAATATCTTGTGAGCAATTGTTTATCAAAAATCAGGATCAGAACACATAGATATGAAAATCAGCTAGATTACACATGTAGCTGGTTTTTTGTATGTTTCAACTAGCGCAATAACCAGCCAGGAAGACATGTAACCTTTCACCCTTGGACACATTATTCCTACTCAGTTCACTGATGAGCATGAGACTACGTAGACAGTTGATCCTTTCTGGAATTGCTATTATGTAATACTATCAATTTGATAATGTTTGTGATAAACTGATCAGGGTCTTACTTGACAGAGCTCTACTGTTATAGTTCAGGATGAAAAGTTGGCTAAGTTGTAGTTCATTGACATTTTGATATTTTTGTTTGGTATTTTTATGTTGTATTTTCAAACATTTTCATGTTTTTAAAAACATACCAAAGCCTTTCTTAGCATAAACAATGCAAATATTATGACAGTTGGATGTATACATAGAAACAAAGTCAGTAAACGTGTACTGTAGACTATATATAGTTTGTCATGTTGATAGCTATGATCATAACCTGAAGCATTGTAAGAATGGGATGTTATTCATCTATATTCTTCTCAAACAATTTATTTCTTTTGACTACTTTAAAAGTAATAATATAGATTCTGGACTGTAATACACCAAGAGACAATATTTATACATTTGATCACATTAATTATAAATTACTTATTACATTGGTTGCAATAAATTATCATGATTTCCCAGTGAAATAAATCGGATATAGTTCCTTTCATTTTTTACTTTATTTCAATTAAAAAGTCCATGGTCAATGTAATAAAAATAATAACTAATCCAAGAATTAAAATATCGAAAAAATATTCAACTCGTGACTGAGCAACACTGATACTTAACTCATGCCCTATGCGCGTTCGTGAATTAATGTGTTGTTCGGTCACTTGTTGAATATTTTTCTATATATTTGATTTCTTGGATTATTTATTCTATAAATATTTTATTATTTTTCAAATCTCAAACATCAATGCCTTTCAGAGTGATTGCATGATTTAAACTTTGTTCAACACCTGGGTACAGAGTTCAGACCTATTATCTTCATTTTAAATACATTGTGAAAAATGTTCATATTCTTAAAAAAATCAAATTTGTAAAATAGAATTTATCCCAAATATCCATTGATGACTATTTTTACATGTCAGATTTCTTTATGAATAGGATCACATGTTTTTAAATATTTTACACTTGTTATATTTATATTGTTATTTGTTACATATTTCAGTTTTAATAGAAAATCAGTTTTACTCTCCTTTATCTCAGTTATTAAGTCAGTATAAATCCTTTTAGTCGTTGTATCTTACCTGTAAGTCAAATTATTCATTTTGATACTTCTGAAATTTACTTTCTCTGGTTTTCTACATATAAAATGTAGGAAGATGTGTCATAATGTCTGTCTGTCTGTCATAAAATATTTCAACACAAAATATCTCCTTTGGTTACATAGAAATTGAAAGACATTTCACAGAATTGCTTTATAAGGTACAAACTAACTTATATTTTGGTTTATTGACTTGTATTGAAAGTTTTATCTGTTATTATTTAAACAAATATTTTTTTAATTTTACATATTTATTTACTTGAGATTTTCACCATAGTGCTGTAATTAAAACTAATTGAAAAGGCTATTTTAGCTGGTGCACTGTTTTCAGTTTTATTGGCAGAAATAATGTCTTTGAACAGACTATAAAATCTACAAGAATTTTACCCTTTAAATGAATTTATGGAAAAAAAAGTTGATTTCTTGTTATTTAATATCTTGTTTATATTTTTTCATATTTATTGTCAATTTTGAATAATGATTATTTTTCAATGATTGTTTAGATTTAAATTTAGAAGATCAAACTTCTAAGAATCAGGATTAAAAGTTATACTTCAGTGAGAGTGTAGTCTGTTTTACTACATCAATACGGTTTTTATCTGATGCCAAATGTAAAAATGAATTATTTAATAGCTTTTAAAATGTATGAGTTTTATGAAATGTGATTTTGATAGGGCTATGTAAGACTGTCCAAACATTGCTAGAATGAGTTTTGCTGATTTTTGTTTTAGTCCATTAATGTTTCGATAACAGATGAGAAGGAAGCAATTGTGCAGTTTAAATAAGGAATCAAGGTTTAATGTGATTTTGTTTATGATTTATTTCTTGAATTTTTAATGAAGAATATTATTCTAATTGTCATAAATAAGTGTCTATTGTCAAAGAAACAAAAATCATAATAATTTTTTTTAAAACTTTATGCAAAAAATCTAAAATAACATAAAATTATCAGACTTGAGATATTGGTAAAGGAATAACTACATTTTTTAATACTCTAAAATGTTAGTGTATTATTTAACCATCTGAAATTGATTTTTTTGGGAGTGCGATGTGCAAAAGTAGAATTAAAGTTGATTTCTGCAAGTATTCAATAGCAATTCATTTCCATGTCTCTTTAAACGCTGATTAATTTTTGTCTATTTTTAGTAATTTCTCAAGGAGCAAGTTACATAATTGAATTTAACCCAATGAATTAAGACTTTTGACTTGGAATGGTCTGAATGGTAAACAATAAAATTTTGCCAAACTTTTGGGCTTCTTAACTATGAAATCACATCTCCCACTAAATTTGAATTCTCTTGCCCAAATTAATGTAAAATTTGGGTACTTTTAGTTAAACGTTATTAAAAACCATGCTAGACATACTTTGCCATTAATCATCTAAGAACAATAATTATTTGACATATTTAATAATCAGAATGAATTATACACAATATCATGTTAAACTTATTATAAATCCAACATGCTCATAATGATCACTTATTTTATATAAATACTCTTTTTTTTTCCATAGGTATTTTCACAAACCAAGTAATCTCATTGGACATTTGAAAATTCTGAAGGATAAAGCACTGCTTGTTTCATTCCCTGGAAGTTGAATACTCACTGTATAGTAGTTCAAAACTTATATTTGATAATTGGAAACATTGATGATCCCTAATTTATAATCAGTTAAAGTACAGGAGAAAACAATCGTTTTGACATAATTAATACAATTAAACTGTTAGGGTAATCCTGATCTCTATAACCTCTGATAATGACACTGTTAGGGTAATCCTGATCTCTATAGTCCTCTGTGATAATACTGATACTGTTGATCTCAGGTTCAAAATTACTAACATCTTAAATGTACATTTCCAAACTAAAATGATCCTCGGTATAACATGCTTTTGGTTATTCTGTGACCCTTGTTTTTTTTTTTCAACTTTAGCACTCCTAGTGAAAGAGTGTGAAACTTAACCTAACAGGTTACTGATTTTGTTCAGTCTCATCAATTCAAATTTCATTTTGTTTTAACTTGAGTAGTTTTTTTCCCTTTCTTTAATATCTGTCTGCGTTTATTGTATATAGAAGGATGGCTTCATTGTTGTAAATTGACATTAATCCAGGGTTTGTTATTTGATTATATAATGCTGGTTCAAAAATCATTAATGTTTGTTTGAAAGCTGTCATACTTTTCATTTTTCAGATACTTTTGTGAGCATTTTAAAATTTGGCACGAAGAAGTGCTTTTCTTTATATGTCAGAACCAAAGAGGCATTATTCAGTTGGGATTATAATGTTCTCTGTTGTTGTTCAAGAGTCATGCTTATTGATAAAGGCTGCCAGCATTTTCGTTATAAGCAAATTCCTGGAGAATATACATACCATAATGTGCATGATCTTTTTCCAGAATACATTGTTTGAAAATTTCTTAGGTTTGACGTGTGAAATAAATGTTACTATTATGAATTAATTCATTTGTTCATCACATTTATTTATGATTTTATTTTTCAAGTCAACTTTAAGTAGAAAAGATTGTTTTGTAAATAATATAAAATGTAAATAGTTAATGATTGGTGACTGGTTTTATAGTGTAAGTAACATGTTATATTTAATTCTACCTTATATATAATTTTTTCTTCCATTTTCTGAATTGAAATTTCTCCAATATAATAAAAATGAACCTTGCTCATATGTAGCATAATACATCCAGAAATTACACAAACCGTTATTGTAGTCTTGAGATATCTAAAGAGTGGTCAAACTCTAATAACTCTCTATATAAAATGTGTATACCTTTACTTCATCTTTACTACATATATTCATTGAAAGGTACAACAAAACTTGTTGAAATTTACTTGCATCTTATTATTTAGGATACCGTAATCAATGATAATATAAATAGTTGTAGGTCATTTACAATTTTCACATCCCTGAATGACTTAATTTTAAAACTCACCTGTAGATTACAAGCAGTTATCCCCCTTTAAATCTTCTATTCTCTTGTCACCCACCTGTTTATCATCCATATATGATCATATGGATTTGCTATGACATTAGAACTAAGGCTTCTATTTGATATAACAAGTCAACACTTGAGCTTTATTTCACAATGTATGAGTGTAAATTAAGATGTTCACTTGTCCATATTTTATTATTTGTTTATGAATTTGATGTAATTTTAAATGTTTTTGTTTTTGCTTTCCATGTAGCTTATTGACATTATTTTTGCTTGTACCTTTTGTACAATTTTTAGTTAGCTTTAAAACTTGATAACCTGAAACAAAGTGATTTTATCCTATTATAATTTGGAATGGATTGTTTTACTTTATATTTTGCATAATATAATCAATGATCAAAGTTTACTTATATATTTAGTTCCTATGAATCTCATGTTAAAAGCTTTACTCGTGTGATCAAATGTTGTACAGTTTTTGTGAAGTTTGCTCAAAATAAGATCGGTATCTTTGCATATCAAACATTTTATTAGCAATCAATATACATTTATTACATATATTGTAGTCCGCATAACATGCATTTCCATAGGTGTCAAAAATATTATCTCAGCTTCGTAAGTACAATGAACACCTAGTAATCTATAGCTAAACCAAAGTAAATTAAAGAAATTTGAATTCAGTGTTTACTTTATACCAGTTTACTGTATAATTTTTATTTTGGCTAGTAACTCATAGAAATGCAAGTGAAAATAGGATGAATTCAAGATCTGTAAAATGTAATTGATAATCAATCTTGAGGCATACTTACAATATCCCTGTCTGGGTGAATGTTTTCAGCAACAGAAAATAAGTTTAGAAGGCTCTGTCTGTACTGGAACTTCCCAGTGTAATCCTTAAAAGTAAGATATAAGTGCCGATATTGCTGACTTTTTAAAAAAAAAATAGCATAAAAGTGAATCTCTATACTATGGGCAAATTATTTACTAAATCATGACCAGAAGTTTTACCTGTGCCAATTTTTCAAGGTATTATATATTAGGGGTACCAATGATGCCTAAGAATACCATTGTTAATCTAAATTAAAAACTGATCTTCTGCTTGTTAAAGTAAAGTACATGTACTTTTAAATGTCAAGTTTTTCTGTGAACAGTTTTGTTCCGAATCTAGTGCTTTGGGCTGAATCTAGTGCTACATATTACAGCTTTGTACTCAATCTCTTGCTACATATTACTGCTTTGCACTGAATCTCTTACCTTGTACCACAAGTTTTGTTGTATTTTTTTGCTACTGTGCCTTTATTTTGTTTGTTATGTACGACTTTGACTGTTGAATTGATCAAGTGCTCTCTCCTTAGTGTTGTTTGAATACCATAGTGCTCACATTTTACTATTTGTTTACAACCTAAGTGCTAAAATCAAATTTCTAAATTTATTTTACGGAATGTCTTAGTGCTACCTTTATACATAATCTTTATGATGTAATGGTTCAATCAATAAAAGAATGGGACAACCTCAATTTTTGCTGTGATACCTACTGTAGAAAGTAAAACAATGTAAGATACCAACTAATAAAGCTTTCTTTAATATCTATAAAGCATTATTTTTCTGACTGACCATATAAATACTCATTTCAATTTACCAAAACTGAATCCTAATTAATAGTTACAACTAATCACTTTTACCAAAAGCTACATTGTTGATGCATTATAAGATGTTAATTTAGAATGTGAATCTTGGGTGTTTTCTTTGTAAAGTCAAAATTAACGGGCATTTTGGTTTGAAGACTGAATATTTTTTATCACCATCATGTTACCATTGTAATCATGTGATTGAGATTTTCAACAGTTGTAAAGCATTTTCCCATAAAACAATCACATGAAAGTTAAAGGCTGATACATTTTTATTTCTTTAGAATTTCCACTGATTCATAAAACTGTATGAAGAAAAATTAATGACAAACATTTCCATAAATACAATTTGAATATTATTTTGACTGGTAAATTAAATTCCTTACATAAAACAAAATCCAAGGTTTTTGTTGCTTTTTTTTTTTTTTTTGTAACCATCAGAAATTATTTGAATATCTATAATTATATGTAGTAAAGTTAATATTAGGCTTAGATTTTTGAGTGACCTTTTTGCATACATTGAATGTTTTTAAGTATAGGGTATACATTTTATTTAATCAAATTCTTTGTTGTTTTTTTTTTTATTCAGTGTGGTTATTAAATTATACTTTGTTGTATAAAAGTGGTAAAAATGATTCTGTACAAATTAATTACATGTTGTCATTGCTTTACTGTATTACTTTTGAAATACTTATTTTTTTCCAATACAGCCTTTGGCAGCTATTTTATTGCACAAATCATATTTTCCTTGCTTTTAAATAAATGGAATTGATGAACAAACAATGAATTGCCACAAAGTGTTTCATTTTAATAAAGAATTTGCTTGAAATGTTGTTTTTTGTTTTTACATAGAGGGGTACTAAAAAATCAACCAATATTCAATCTAACAAAAAACAGGTCATATCAAAGAATTCAAGAGAACAGGACCAGTCTCATCAGAAACTTGAAGAAATCCCATCCTTAGATAGTCCTATCATTATAAAGCACAGTTAATTCAACTTTGCAATGTCTTATGAAAACAGGATAGACAGGACTGTGCAAACATCAATGAAACAGCAACCAATAAGAAAGTTGTACTGTGACCCTTATAAGTCTTACCCACCATCTATAATACAGTTCATTCAAAATTCTGACTCAATTGCAATTTGTTTTATCAAATCAAACTGTAACTGTTTGGGTTTAGTGGTAGTACTTCGCTCGTGTAAATTATAGAAAGACATGATATATTTCAAACTCTGTTTACTATACTGACTAGAGACGTTATGCATACAATAAGCATAATAATGATATGACGTTACAATACGTTACTTTAGTTACGTTAGTCTTTGACGTTAACAATAAGAGTTGCATAAGTTAGTGTCTCTGTTTTGCGGCCAATTCGTAATACTCCGGCCGCAGGAAAGTGAAAAAGAAAAAACTTAAATAAAATCGAAAATTTCAAACATTCACATTAAATTTAAATCACTTTAAAGTCCATGTAGTAAAACAAATAACTTCTTTAAAGTTCATATATAAAGAAATTAAATTTACTGAACAGTCTCTGTAAATCACAAACATGAAATTACAATGTCCATTTATCTTCCTTTGATTGACGAAATTTGGTAGCCTTTCCGATTTGCACATGTTCATTAGAAACTTCAAGTCAATGAGTATATTTGATCAATCCGACGATTAGTAAATCCGTTTTTTCCTTGATCGGTTACTATATAATTTCTGTATTTCTGGTTCCCTGCTCAGTCTACTGATAATTCTCGATGTTCTGTTCTTGGTTACGTTATAGTTCCTAGGTAGAACAGGCAAATTCTCTTTACATGGTAATTTTGATATATAGTAATTGTCGTGATATGCTATAGTTGACTCGTATGTCTTGTAGTAGTGTTCATCCTGCCTTTTTTTTTTGCCAATTTGCTTATCCTGCCTTTTTTTTCTTCAAATTTCATCCTAGCCCCCATAAAAATCAAATGGTAGCTCCCTTATTAGCACTCACAAAATGATAACATTCTAAAATTATCAGTCAGGCAGGAAAACAACATGCCATATTGAACATTTGACCATAGATAATGGTGGAATGTAAACCTTACAGACACAAGCAGTCAGAGGTGGACAAAACCCAAGTATTATCGATAGAAATCGAAACAAAGCTGTATCTATACAGTAACTTTAGCACAGTCACTAATACATATATATAACACTTATGGACACAGTGACATGTCTCAAATGCTTTACTGATTTAGACTGAATTTTTTTTCGAGATCAAGGTCTTACTAGTTACTACAAGGATAATAAAAATCTTTACATTGTCCATTATCCATAGTCCCTGAAAACAAAGTTGAAGATCAGATGAACCCTGTTATACATGTACAACTTACAATGATTATATAATACTGTGTGGGTACAAATGTTCGTAGATTGACAAAATATTTAGTTTTCGTGGATATTTGATTTCTTGGCCAAATTATCATACAAGGCATAAGAAAATTCCTGTTTCATCTATACCAACGAAATCCACAAAAATTGGTATCCCACAGATAATAATCTAATAAGAATCTACAGTATGGTGAATAAAACTCTAACATGGACAATTATTGGTGTAAGTGTACAGCATACATAACAGGGACAATTATTGGTGTAAGTGTACATCATACATAACATGGACAATTATTGGTGTAAGTGTACATCATACATAACATGGACAATTATTGGTGTAAGTGTACAGCATACATAACATGGACAATTATTGGTGTAAGTGTACAGCATACATAACATGGACAATTATTGGTGTAAGTGTACATCATACATAACATGGACAATTATTGGTGTAAGTGTACATCATACATAACATGGACAATTATTGGTGTAAGTGTACAGCATACATAACATGGACAATTATTGGTGTAAGTGTACAGCATACATAACAGGGACAATTATTGGTGTAAGTGTACATCATACATAACATGGACAATTATTGGTGTAAGTGTACAGCATACATAACATGGACAATTATTGGTGTAAGTGTACAGCATACATAACATGGACAATTATTGGTGTAAGTGTACAGCATACATAACATGGACAATTATTGGTGTAAGTGTACATCATACATAACATGGACAATTATTGGTGTAAGTGTACATCATACATAACATGGACAATTATTGGTGTAAGTGTACAGCATGCATAACATGGACAATTATTGATATAACATGGACAATTATTGATGTATGTGTACATCATACATAACATGGACAATTATTGGTGTATGTGTACATCATACATAACATGGACAATTATTGGTGTAAGTGTACATCATACTGTGATACATAACATGAAGACAATTTATTCTTGAAAAGGCAAGTTCCAACTAGTGTCAATATCAAATGAGCCTATAGTTTTTTTTATGGCATGTAAAAAGTTCTACAGTCCCAAACTCCTATTAACTTTTGGTTTATTTTGAATGCAGTATCTCATTTCATTTAAATGACCTCATGGTATCTGTTGACAGACATGCAAACCAGTAATTATGAATCCATACAGTGTAAATATAAAACGTTTCCATAACGTTCTCAATTTTCTGAACTTATGACAAGAACCAGTATGATTTATGTAGTAGTATCCATTTTTATGTTTGTGGTACAAATGAGTGTTGTTGATCCTAGAGGCTCGTGTGGTAAGTACATTATGTATGTTAAATCATTATGTCAAAAACTATTAGAATACAAAATGAAACTATATTCTTGATAGAGTTATATCTGGGCGTAATTAGGTTTTCTCATCGTGTCAAACTAACCGTTTGTCACCACAAAAATTTTAAGATGGGACAGAATCTTTTGCCAAATACTGCTAAGGTAATGGGTAATGCCTTGGGTAGAAAATTCTTAGTTACCGAAAAATTTAAAGATTTTATAAACAGTTAATTTATAAACATGACCATATCAACCATATGTCATGTCAACACAGAAGTGTTGACTACTGGGCTGGTGATGCCCTGGGGGAGTACACCTTCACCAGCAATATTGTTCTTTGATTGGAAATTATGATAACATTTTATTGTATTCTTACGCCTGAATAGGTAAATTGATTGAAGTTTTCCCTATATATTGCTTGCAAAAAGAAGCATTCTTCGTGTTAAATGCTGTATCATGTATTGTTGAATTGAGGGCTGTATGAAGACTTGTAAATGTCTCATTGGCAATCATACCACATCTTCTTATATTAATATTACTTAAATTTTTCAAGGTTTGTAAACATGTGTTGAGGTTGGTTGAAGCAACCACAATTTAAAAAAAAAGTGTAGTGTTATATTTTTTATCAGTTTTAGAAAAAATAATGATCTTAAGAAAAGCAGCATTACTCAGACATAACTGGTTACATTTTTACAAATATGAGAGTTGTGCTTTTTTAAGTGTTAGGAGACGACGATGATAAGCAAATAGAATACTTTACAGCAAAAATAAAATAAGAAGGTCAGATTTAAATGATCTAAGTCCATTAAGTGTCAAAACTGCAGATTGACAAGTGAATTGTGAAAAATATGAAGTCAACCTGTGTTTATTGGTTCAATGCATTTTGATTCAAAATGTCTCCATTTGTCATTGTTAAGGACATAACTATTACATATCAATGTGAGAATGTCAAGTTTAAGCTCAAAGTGAGTGTCATGTTTCTTAAGTGTTAAAAATTTCAAATCTCATCATTGAAGAATCCTAAAAAAATTGAGGAAACCTAAAATTGGGGTATTTTGGCCATTAGATGCATAGAACTGATGTACCATTGCAATGCCGACTGAGGGTAAGAGTAAAAGCCTCCATCCATACATAGCTGCTAACGGATAGACAATAATACCAACACATAATTAATTTAGACATGGATCACATTTAACATTTTTCCTTTTTTCAATTTTAGAGAACCAGATTTTTGACAACATGATTGACAAAATAGTGACCATGCAATGTAGAGGTAAGCTGTCATCAGTAAAATTTCATCTAGCAACCTAAAAAACTTTGAAAGCAGTTGGTTTTAGAACATTGCTGTACCATTTGGTTACGATAACATATTCAAAGATAATGTTTTTAAGGACTTTAGTTGATAAATACAGAGTCAACTGATGATTCTGTTTATCCGCATGTAGATATCGTTTTTTATATAGATTAGACCGTTGGTTTTCCTGTTTGAATGGTTTTACACTAGTAATTTTTGGAGCTCTTTATAGCTTGCTCTTCGGTGTGAGCCAAGGCTCCGTGTTGAAAACCGTACTTTGACCTATAATGGTTTACTTTAATAAATTTTGACTTGGATGGAGAGTTGTCTCATTGGCACTCATACCACATCTTCTTATACCTATATACATGAAATTCAATTGAAAGTATTTTTATAAGGGTTGAAATGCATTTTTTTATTTCTATTTTAACGTTAAAAGATCATAAAATTCCCTTTTTTCTCTGCTATATTTTAGTATAGTGATTTGTTAATATAAAATTAGGGAAATGTGGTATGAATGCCATACTATCCACACCAGAGTCTAAATGACCTAAGCAAGGAAAGGAAAGTAAGCAACTATATGTCACACCGAACAGCAATTTAAGGTAACAATATCCCTGACTTAATAATTTACCAGTTATACATAAATTACATTTATTGCAATATTAATCTCACTATAGAGATAGACAAAGCAGACAAGTTTGTAAATATACACACAGTTAGAGGGAATCCTAGGAACATCAGCGTCTAAATAAAGGAAAATATACAATTTTTTTGGTATAGAGTTTTCCATGTGAAACTGAAATATCCAAATCTAGATATATAATAGATTTATTTAAATTCAATTCCTCTGGGTAAATAATACAGATTACTCATATATTTTATATTATTATTTGATGAATTTTCAAATTATTTTAGCAGATGAAAGTTGCCTGGTGTTTTTGCACACCTTTCTGATATTAGGAAGACACATAAAGACATTATAATTTTTGTTACTAAAGTATATAAAGTATTTACTGTATATTATAAAAACATCAAAGAACATAGAAATAAAAGCATATTTCTTGCAGATGACAATACGGGAAAAGATAGACCAGCATTTACAGTGAGTCTTACAACAAAGGAGCCGACAATAACAGGAAAAGTACCTATCAAGTTTAACCATGTAATCCTAAATTGTGGAGGTGGATATGATCCCAGTACAGGATACTTCACAGTACCACAGACAGGACTCTATCATATCTCAGCTACAATCATGTCTAGAAATGGGGCTACTTTTCATGCCAGTCTTGACAAAAATGGTCAGGATATAGTGTTGATGTATGGAACAAAAATAAATGGAGACAATGAGAGTACAAACATTGTTCTAGAACTAACCAAGGGTGACAAAGTTTGTGTGAAACATTACATGTCAAGGTCAGAGGTTATTCATGGATATGGCTACTGCTACTTTTCAGGATACTACATATCAAAATAGAATTATTTCATGTAAAGAATAAAAAGCAAAATAGATACATGTTTTGTTGATATTTGCTCTCTCACATTTAGTGCATGTTTTTTTTTTTCATTTATTACATTATACCTTTATGTCATGCTGATATTTGACCTTCATAGATGAACTATTGGAGTTTGTATTTGAATTCGGCTCAATAAAGTCATGATGACAATTTTCTTGTTCACAACATATTCCTTTATTCCTAAGTATAGAAATAAGGAAATGTGATAAGATTGCCATTTAGACAAGTATCCACCAGAGTTCAAATGTAGTGCAATAATAGGTGACTGTACTGCCTTAAACAATGATTAAACCAATACCTTATAGTCGGCTATAAAAAGCCCCAATATGAAGAATTCAAATGAGAAAAAGGCCTCATTCATAAAAAACAATTTATGAAAAACATATATGACAAGACATGAACCAAAGACTACCACCGAACTACCTGCTCCTGACTTGGTACAGGCACTTATAAAGAATGTGGCGGAGTTAAACATGTTTGTGAGTGCCAAACCCTCCCATAATCTAGTGGTTGTTAAGTAGGAAAACCATTCACAATTAAATTTGTAATCTTCTCCATCTTGTTTAAGGCATGGTGGTCCTGTCTTTATACATGTACAGCATAAATTGAGGTTCTTCATCATAAGCTTCAGGATAATAAGCAGAAATGTTAGATTTGTTTTCTTGTTACTTTGCTGTTTGGTGGGTATCAACCAACCAATTAATCCTTTTCTTCAATTGTTGTGTGTAAAACTTTTAGTTTATTATCATACAAAAATAAAGTTTATTTGGATTCCTGAAGTAAAGAAAAAATTTCACTGCAACTGAATACGGTCAAGGGTCAACTTTTTTTACGCAGACCTATGCACTGAAACCTCACCTCTTTACTCTTAAATAATCCAGTTATTGTTAATTCTATATCTGTGAAGACTTTTGATTTATTTGCAGTGTACAACAATCACAAGAAAACTTACATAATTACAGACAAAATATTGTTTACGACTACATTTAATAAATAAGTGATAAAACAACATCAGATCAGAGTCCAGCCCGCGAGGCTTGCCCGCGAGGCTTGTAATATTACTGTCCATCACCATCTCCTGGTTTTTGTGTAGCCATTAGTTTATTATACTTCTTCTCCTGCGTTTCATATTGTTTGGTCAATTTCTTGAGAGCAGATTTGGTTAATTCATTACCTTCAGCATCATGTGTTGGTATACCCTGAAAATAGATATCATTCTATGTAATTAACCTAATTGGTTCTGTGTTGTGGTAAAGGTATTTCCCTGGGAAAGATTTGTATTAGGAATTGGGAGGCATTTTCATTCAAATTGTATGGCTGCTGGTTATTCTATAAATCCACCTGAAAATGTACAGGAATGATAGGATATCTATAATACTAAGTCAGGGCACCAGCATATTATAAATGGAAATGCAATTGACTCCTCCAAAAATATCATTTCCGTCAAGTAATAACCACACTTTACAACAATGTATTGCAATTTTGATGAATTCCATAATGATTTGCATATGAGCCACTATACAGGGGCACCCAATCTTTCTCAAACTTAAATGCTATTTTAAAAAGACTATAATCCAAATACATGCATTAGGTAGAGATGAAGTAATATCAAGGAGCAGTTTCAGAGGATCTGAAGTTAAGAGAAATTGTTGTGGAGATGCAGGACTATGAATAGTTTTCCATGTGTGTCTATACTTTGCTATGCTGGTGACTCAACACATATGTTTGTTGGGATTTAAAAAAAGATCTTTTAAGCAACATGTTTTAACCGTCTAAGAAGGAATTTAATTTAATATCTTGAATAAATTCTGTAAAATAGTTTATTTTAAATGAATATTGGTAAAGTTGATTTTTCCTTTAAAAAAAAGTCTCAAATATAAATTTGCCACTGGTAAGTTTAAGACATATAATTACCCTTTCATCAAACTTTGAATATTTATCTGTCTCTTTTTTGAAGAGTTCCCATGGTGGTATTCTGTCCAAAGCTTCTTTTGCTGCCTAGAATATAAATATTACATCAAATGATTATTGATTGATTGATGGATTGGTGTTTAACACCACTTTCAGCACTATTGTGCTATGTCCTGGTGTCCTTTTTTATTGGTGGAGGAAGATGGAGTGTCCAGAGAGAATCACTAACTTCGGTTGGAAAAATGACAATCCTAGTCAATTAAAATTGGAGTCAAGCGCACCTGCCATGTGGGGGATTCAAACTCACAACCTCAATGTTGACAGGATAGTGATACAGTAGTTTGACTACACAGACCACTCGGCCACCTAAGTCCCTCATCAGATGATTAAGGGACAAGTCAACCTTGGATAAAAATTGTTCTGAGACAACTTGGACACTTATGAGACAACTAATTGACATCTATAAGGACAATTTATGTCTACGTAGATTAACATGACTGTGATGCTAGATCTACTACAAAGAGCCAGGGTCCCTGATTCCCACTCCCCTCACCGCTTCCCCTCTTTTTCCCCCCACCCTTACTCCCAGACGAAAATCAGCCAAAAATATTTTCCCTAAATATCCCCATTTTTACTCCCCTCTTCCCTGGCCTCAGACTACCACTTCCCTCCCCCACTCCCACTTCATGCCCCCTCATTATCATGTTCTTTACCCCTGTCCATTCCCTCTACAAAGGTTAACATCACTTTAATGAAAAAAGTCCTATTTTGATCCTATTTCATTGGTTTTCAGGACCAGAAACATATAGAGCATAAGTCTACAAAATAAGATCTTGTAACATTATGTTTGTTATAACAATTACATATCTGACTTTAATATTTAAAATATCCAATTTTGTTTCCTTTAACAATTACATATCTGACTTTAATATTTAAAATATCCAATTTTGTTTCCTTTGTGATTAAACTGACCTTCACAGCCTCTTGATCTTTTTTCTTTTTCTCTTTCTCTTGTTTCCTCTGCTCTTCAAACTAGAAATAAAAAACAGGAAAAAAAAGATATAAAACTTTAAGTTCAAAATATTTATCATCATATTGTATAAAACTCTTAAGTTTACAGCTATCTATCATAGTTTAGTCAAATCATCATTAGGGCAATAACTTCAATAAAGAGTGGACTGACAATTTCGGCCATATTGACTTATTTGTAGATCTTGTCCTGCTGATCATTTTTGCTCATACAATTTTCTTTCTATCTATTATAGTTTTCAAGATAATAGGCAAAAAGGAAACTAGATGTGTCGCTCACCTTGGTCTATGTACATATTCAACAAAGGACACTTTCCAACATTGTAGACGAGAATAGAATTCATGACAAAAATCTCTGTTTTGTTGATCATGTATTGCTGATCATTTAGTCTGTTTAGATTCTCTCTATCTTCTTTAGTTTTTGCTCAAAACACAAAAGAGGGTAAAAAAAATCCTCAATTAAGGGCAATCACTCCTATAAAGAGTGACAGTCTACTAACTATATCGGCAAAATTTGACTTGTTAGTAGATCTTGAATTGCTGATCATTTTTGTGATTTAAAGTGTCTATTCATCTATTATAATTTTTATCATATAAGATAAAACGCAAAAATAATGGTGAAAATTGTTATTAAAGGGCAATTACTCCAATAAGGAGTCGTCTGATGATTTCCTCCATTTGTCTTAATTGTAGATCTTGTCTTGCTGATCATTTTTGCTTATTTAAGGTTCTATCTATCTATTATAATTTTTAAGATATAAGGCAATAAACTGCTTCGCCGAGCGCAGCTGGATACGACCGCAGAGGTCCAACCCTGAACAGTTTGGACAAAAATGGACACAATATTCAAGCTTGATACAGGTCTGAATTTTGATTGTAATTAAATATTTGACACATTATAGGTTTCTGACACAGAATAAATGTAGTCAAAGAACTTGAAATTGGTTATATGATTTGAATTTATATTCAATTGAAGATTTCTTGCTGTTGTGCAATACACTGTGCTGTTGCGCAATACTTAATAAACTGTTTTCAGATTATATACAAAGAATTAGCAAAATAAATTGTTTTCTTTGGAAAATTGACTATTTTTTAAATCTTGAGGGAAAAAAATTGACACCCCTCCCCCCCGAAAAAATTTACCCATCCCCCCCCTCCCTTTCCAAAAAAAATTATTTTGAAGAAAATTTTCTTTTTAATTTCTTAAATCTTGAGGGAAAAAAATTGCCCCCCCCCTCCCCTCTCCAAAAAAAATAACATTTGAAGAAATTTTCTTTTTGTAAAATGTAGTACAATTTAAGAGACATCCATACAATTAAACACAAGTTATTGTCTGAAAACTAGAAAAATGATTGTTTGAGACCCTTTTTGGCCCTTAATTCCTGGAAGGCTTGGGCATTGAACCTTGTGATACAATTTCAGAGCAATCAAAATACTTTTACACAAGTTATTGTCCTGAAACTAGAAATATGCGTTTTGGGCCCCTTTTTGGGCCCTAATTCCTAAACAGTTGGGACCATCACCCCCAAAAACAATTCCAACCTTCCTTTTGTGGAATTGAACCTTTTGCTTAAATTTCATAGAGAACCATACACTTAAACTAAAGTTATTGTCCAGAAACCAAATGTCATGGGACAACAACGACGACGTGATAGCAATATACGACCCCAAAATTTTTTTGTAGTCGTATAAAAACGCAAAAACTTGGTAAAAATTGTCATCAAAGGGCAATAACTCTGATAAGGAGTTGACTGACGATTTTTGCAATATAAAATTTCTCTCTACCTATTATAGTTTTCAAGATAATACGCAATAAAATGCTTCGCTGAGCGCAGCTTGATACGACCGCAGAGGTCGAACCCTGAACAGTTGGGGCAAGTATGGACACAACATTTAAGCTTGATACAGCTCTGAATTTGGATTGTGATTAAATATTTGACACAGCATAGGTTTCTGACACAGAAAGAATGTGGTCTAAGAACTTCAATTTTTTTAATTTACCTATTATGGTCCAATGTCCAAAATCAAAATACATGGTTAGATTCAGCATATCAAAGAACCCCATATATTCAATTTTTGTAGAAATCAAACAAAGTTTAATTTTGGACCCCAACTTGGACAAACTTGTAAACTGGTCCCATAATCAAAAATATCAAAGTACCCCAAGAATTCAATTTCTGTTAAAATCAAACTAAGTTTAATTTTGGACCCTTTGGACCTTAATGTAGACCAATTTAAAAAACGGGACCCAAAATTAAAAATCTAAAAACACGGTTAGATTTGGCATATCAAAGAACCCCAATAATTCAATTTTTGATGAAATCAAACAAAGTTTAATTTTGGACCCTTTTGACCTGAATATGAACCAATTTGATAGCGGGCCCTCAAAATAAAAAATCTAAATACATGGTAAGATTCAGCATATCAAAGAACCCCATATATTCAATTTTTGTTGAAATCAAACAAAGTTTAATTTTGGACCCAAATTTGGACCAACTTGAAAACTGGTCCCATAATCAAAAATCTAAACACATGTTTAGATTCAGCATATCAAAGAACCCCAAAAATTCAATTTTTGTTAAAATCAAACTAAGTTTAATTTTGGACCCTTTGGACCTTAATGTAGACCAATTTAAAAAACGGGACCCAAAATTAAAAATCTAAATACACGGTTAGATTTGGCATATCAAAGAACCCCAATAATTCAATTTTTGATGAAATCAAACAAAGTTAAAATTTGGACCCTTTGGACCTCAATGTGGACCAATTTAAAAACGGGGCCCAAAATCCAAACACTTAATACACGGTTAGATTCAGCATATTAAAGAACCCCAAGAATTCAAGAATAAAACCCCATTGAAATTGATCAAGAAATAAGCAATTTATACGAAGTATCTTCTTTTGCACAATACTGTGCAATTGAATATTTCTTGCTATTGTGCAATACTGTACAATTGACAATTTCTTGCTATTGCGCAATATTGTGCTATTGGATATTTCTTGCTATTGCGCAATACTGTGCAATTGAAGATTTCTTGCTATTGCGCAATACTGTGCAATTGAAGATTTCTTGCAATTGTGCAATACTGTGCAATTGAAAATTTCTTGCTATTGCACAATACTTATTATATAATAATTTACACATCCTGTTTGGTGTGTATCTCCTACCATATCATTATTATTTGCTTTTAAATATTAATCAGAAATAACCAACTTAAAATGGAAAATTTTAAAAGAAAAAAAAAAGGAAAAAAAGAAAAAAAAAGAAAGAAAAAAAATCCCCCCCCCCCCAATTTTTGGAACCCCCTTATGATTCATCACCCCCAAACTCAATCCCAGCCTTCCCTTGTGGTATGGTACCTTGCAGTACAATTTCACAGAGATCCATACACTTGAACACAAGTTATTGTCTGGAAACTAGAAAAATGCTTATTTTTGGCCCCTTTTTGGCCCCCTATTCCTAAACGTTTCGGGCAATTACCCACAAACTCAATTCCAGCTTTCCCTTTGTGATATGGAACCTTGTAGTACAATTTCAGAAATATCCAAACACTTACACACAAGTTATTGTCATGAAACTAGAAAAATGCTTGTTTTTTGCCCCTTTTTTGGCCCCTAATTCCTAAAATTTTGAGGCAATTACCCCCAAAATCAATTACAGCCTCCCTTTGTGATATGGAACCTTGAGGTACAATGTCAGAGAGATCCATACACTTACACACAAGTTATTGTCTGGAAGTTACAAAAATGCTTATTTTTGGCCCCTTTTTGGCCCCTAATTCCTTAACTGTTGGTACCATAACCCCCAAAATCAATCCCAACCTTCCTTTCGTGGTATTGAACCTTATGGTAAAATTTCATGGAGATCCATTCACTTAAACTAAAGTTAGAGTGCGAAAACCAATGTGTCTTCGGACGACGCCGGACGACGCCAGACGACGACGACGCCAACGTCATACCAATATACGACCAAAAAATTTTCAATTTTTGCGGTCGTATAAAAATGAAACCAGAGGCTCTAAAGAGCCTGTTTCGCTCACATTGGTCTATGTGCATATTCAACAAAGGACACTCTGCAACATTGTTGATGAAAATAGAATTCATGACAAAAATCTCTGTTTTGATGATCTTGTATTGCTGATCATTTATTCTGTATACTTTCTATCTATCTTCTTTAGCTTTTGCTCAAAACACAAAAGAGGGTAAAAAAATCCTCATTTAAGGGCAATCACTCCTATAAAGAGTGACAGTCTACTAGCTTTATCAGCGAAATTTGTCTTGTTAGTAGATCTTGACTTTCTGATCATTTTTGTGATTTAAAGTGTCATATATCATATAAGACAAAACGCGAAAAAAAATTTAAGAGAAAAATCTTCATTAAAGGGCAATAACTCCAATAAGGAGTCGTTGGACGATTTCCTCCATGTTATCTTAATTGTAGGTACCAGTCTTGTATTACAACTCCAGTTTCTGGTGCATGTCAAAACATGGAGGGAAATAAAATAGTCCATTTTTTCTGAATTTTTTTCTGGACTCAATTTTTTTCTGTTTGATTAAAAGTTTATGCTGAATTGAAACATATATATAGATTTAAAAAAAATCTTGCATCTTTTTGGGGATATCAATCCAGGAAAGTGGAAGGATATCATGTTTACTGGAAGTGGTGCGGCCTAGTAAAAACAGCAAACAGAAAGTAGAAAAAAACAGTTTTGACTTCAGGGTTACATAACATTTTATTCCTTGTGGCATGACCCACTTTTTTTTCGATTAAATCACAATTTCACATTTGTGCATACATGATATGAACATGAAAAAAATGTTCTATGTAGCATTTTTTATTTTTTTTATTTTCAAAGATCAGCTGTTTTGCATGTAAGCCCCCAGTAGTTTCAGAGGAGAAGATTTTTCGAAAAATTAACAGATGACGACAAACGCCAAGTGATGAGAAAAGCTCACTTGGCCCTTTGGGCCAGGTGAGCTAAAAAAGGATTAACTTCATCATTTAAGGGCAATGATATAAATGAACAGTAGGTAGATCTCAACATTATGAACATTTCTGCCCATGTTAAATTTTCCGTATCCATAGCAGTTTTTAAGATAATAGACAAAACTTGTATTTTACCCTCATGATCAATTTTTAGACATGTCGGCCATGATGGTTGGCAGGTGGGATCATATGACAATTTTTTAAAACTAGATACCCCAATAATTATGACCAAGTTTGGTTGCAATGTGTCCAGCAGTTTCAGAGGAGAAGACTTTTATAAAAGTTAACGCATGACAGCAACAACGACAGACGATGGACGCCAATTAATTAGAAAAGCACACACTGGCCCTTTAGGCCATGTGAGCTAAAAAGGGAAATAACTTGCATTTTGAAACACATTAATGAATTTTAGAAATACAAAGGTTTTCCCTAGATATCTCCTAATTTTCACGAATTTCAACAGGCATTTCCAAGGCTGGAAGGACTCAAAATAAAAATCCTAACTTAGTTTGAAGGAACCCTGTAAATGAAGCTCTGCTTACATCCTTTTTAATTCTAATAAGTCTAATGGTTTCTTGGTCCATTGAACATTGGACTTTTCTAAAAATGAGTCTCAACTCTAAACTTCCTAACTCTTTCTTTTCTAATTAGGTCTTTCCACTTTTCGTGACCTTTTATTTTTGTTCTGATTATATTTTTTTTTCTTTTGCCGTCTGAGATGTTTTTTTGTTTCAAGACTTATCGAAAGGATTTTTGGCCCATGATGTCGTACAGTGATGAGGGTTTTCCCATTCTCCCTGCGTCCCTTTTTTCTTGTTATCTTTATTTCTCTGAAACTGTAAAAGATATCAACAAACTTTGTTTTCCAAATTGTTCGTATACTGTTAAGAATGTTTTGGTTAAGTTAAACTGAAGTGATTCAATGTCATCTTATGGGAGTTATTTCCCTTCAGAAATTTAACATAGGTGATATGTTTAATAAATTCATACACCATAAGTCATAGAGACCTAAAGTCTTTTGATATGAAGTTCTTGGTCCATTTGGAGAAAATTGAGGTCAAGTTCAAAGGTCAAGGTCATGTTCTTAATTTTGTACTTTGCTTGTTATCTTTATTCCAAAGAAACCGTAACAGTTAATGATACAATGCGTTTGCCAAATAATTGTTTACGACATGGAGAAGCTTCAATGCATTTGAGTCGGAGTGTTTTGGTGACCCATTATAGGAGTTTTCTCCCCTTATATATTAGAAACCAGTAGAACTCCTCAACCGTACAAGTGAATGACCTGGGGCCTTTCGATATGAGATCATTTACCTGTGACCTTGAAATTGAGCTCAAGGTCAAAGGTCAATTTGACGTTCTATATTTTGACCTTTTGTTAAAAATTCATACTGGTCATATTATAAAACCATTAGGTCTTTTGCATTAGGTTGGTAGACATGACCTTCAAAAAATGTCAACCGGAAGTGACATTATTTTTACCGGAAGGAGCCATTTTCACAATAATTTAATGAAAAAGAACCTAGAAACCTTATTTTTTTTTTAATCAGTTTGTAGTCACCAATCATATGAATCTGAAGTGATATCTTCTCACAAGGTTTTTTAATCTAATCCTTTATTATCGAAAGTTGAGGAAGAAAGACCTTCAATTGTTCTCTGAACAATTGGTTTTTAATAGTTATTGATTTTAGCATCTTTTTATGGTAACTGGTGTATTCTAATGAGACTTACCTCTCTTTCTTTTCTTATGGTCTCTGGGTCCATAAACTTGATGACTGCTGGAGCATTATCCTGGTCCTCTAATCGCACTCCAAGATCTGGCAAGACTCGGTTTCTAACTTCGTCACACTGTATCAAAACAGGTTTGACTGAAATAAAAAATGCAGTTATAGTAACATTTTACATCAGTTAGGAATTTAATAATTGTATACCAGTATAACAGAATTTTGTGACTTTAGATATAAAATAGATGACAAAATTACTTAATTTAATGCAACAGAGAAAAGAATTAAAAAAATTTAAAAAAAAACAGCTCCTAATGTCTCTCACCACAGCATACTCCAATACTTAAAAATCTGACAGAAATGAAGGCATTCAAATGCTGACAATTCAATTTTCCATATAATTTACATCCCTAAAGGAAATAACTCCCTTTGATATAAATATTATGAAAATCTGAGAAGAAATGTATAGGCATGACAGCACTTAAGAGACTGGATGGACAGACAGATGCACCACCAAACACCTGGTATGTCTATGTCCTCTGCCTTATGTTGCAGTGGGGGAGGGGGGGGGGAATTTCATTCACCCAGTAATTTTGATTTAGGCAAGACTTTCCTACCATCAACTCTGGATATGAAACAAATCAAAATGGATAATACTCTTAACATTGAAGTGGATGTTACAACTAATACTGCATTATAAGAACAGCTTGACATCCATATTTCTAAGTATTATTGGAGTTCCTGCAAATTCAATATCAAATTTTAGTTAAAAGTTAGGCTAAATAAGGCTCTTGTATAAAACTAGGACCCCCCATATGATTGTAGGATCTCCTTTCAATTAGCCCCATGTTTTCAAAGGAGATATTTGAAACAGATAACATATGGACAACTACAAATGATGAATAGACAACAGAGGCCAAGTAATGACTCACAGTACACCTTCATCCCAGGTCAAATAACAAAGCTTACTTTTCTGTTCTATTGCAACCTGCCTAACAGTATCTCTGAACTGTGCAAAGGCTTGAAGGTATAAGTGTAATAACAAAGCTTACTTTTCTGTTCTATTGCAACCTGCCTAACAGTATCTCTGAACTGTGCAAAGGCTTGAAGGTATGGCATCACAGTTTCTTCTATCTATAAATACAAAACAAAAATATCTTAAAAATATGTAAATTTTCTATATTCAAAAGAAAATAAATCAGTTTCTCCGCTCCAATCCGTTTTTTACCCATTGAATGTTCTGTGCTTGTTACAAGCTGTTACCCCCATCCATCCATCTACCCATTACATGTTCTGTCCTTGTTACAAGCTGTTACCCCTATCCTTCATCTACCCATTACATGTTCTGTACTTGTTAAAAGCTGTTACCCCTATCCTTCATCTACCCATTACATGTTCTGTACTTATTACAAGCTGTTACCCCCATCCATCCACCTACCCATTATATGTTCTGTACTTGTTACAAGCTGTTACCCCTATCCTTCATCTACCCATTACATGTTCTGTACTTGTTACAAGCTGTTACCCCTATCCATCCATCTACCCATTACATGTTCTGTACTTGTTACAAGCTGTTACCCCTATCCTTCATCTACCCATTACATGTTCTGTACTTGTTACAAGCTGTTACCCCTATCCATCCATCTACCCATTACATGTTCTGTGCTTGTTATAAGCTCTTACCCCTATCCATCCATCCGTCTATATTAGTTGTCCTTACAATGATACAAATATACAGATATAATTGATTTGCATACATACAAGTACTTGAATTTGATTGGTCCATTAGACATTTTTCCCTTGGTTTACACTTTGATAGACCATGTTGCTGAAACTACTTTTGTAACCTTTGTACACAATGTCGATTTCACTGTAATCTATTCATGTGCAATACACAGGGTGTGGGATCTAGGGTCCCAAGCAGACTGAGATTGAAAAAAAACTAGAGAACTGTTATTCTTATTCTAATACATAACTAAAAGAAATAAAAAATGTTAAAATTAAAATTGAATAAAATTCCACGAAATTCCATTACTGATCTTGGCATATTAACACCATGACTTAACATGATGTTATAGGAATGAAAACTCAAGCTGAAGGTTATTCTGTTACTTGTCACTTCAAATAAGGATAGTATCTCATTAAAATGTAGTTTTTAAAGTAGGTGTTATTTCATTTTAGATTCTTTTACATTTTTCGAACATTTATGGATTTTAGTAAGTCAATATAAAGGCTAACTCCTTAGTTACGACATATCCATTGTGGATTTGACTGTAAATAATAGCCAATGAACAGAAAAGTTGTTACTATAAAATTGCAAATGGTTGGGTTAAGAATTATAAGGACAAAACACATTTTTTCTAAAGGTTAATTGCCCAAGTTTACACATCAACAACCTCTAGAAAAAAGTGTTTAATCCTATAATATTATAAAAAATGTTATGCCCATCCAAAGTGTTGACTCTTGTAAAGAAATATGAGTCACCAGGACTTCTTTGTTCATAAGTCAATACCTGAGGAGGCTGTATAGCTAACTTAGATGAATATGCAGCCATGTACAATGTCAAAATGGGGACATCAGATAAAATGCCCAGTGCTGGTAGAATTTAATAATGTCTACATAATAAGTAATCTTTGCAATAACTCTTTAAGAAGTCCATAGGTGACATGTTACACACTTTCTGTCCCTACACAATATACCTTCTTTCTTCACATGACCTTATTGCCTTGTTTTTATACTTCATGTGTATTGTCCACTCTACTTCCTTTTTACAAAATTTCACAATATTCATATACTTTAATTTTACTCTACCTTTGTTTCTTTTTATGGAAACTTGCTCTCCTACAACCATTGTGGTACAATATGAAATAAGGAGATGTGGTATGATTGCCAATGTAACAACTACCTAACAGAGTCCAAATGACTTGCATGTAAGCAATTATAGGTCAAACCTATAACCTATAGTCAGCTATAAAAGGCCCTAACATGAATGTATGGTTATGGTTTTCAACTACTTGTAATACTTCCCTCTTTTAAAATATAACATAGTCTTGCAAACTGAACATTAGCTAAGGGGAATTCTGTTGTGTTTTCTGTAGCAAGCTCCCTTTCCTATACCCATACAATTTTCTCTCGCTCCTACCTACATAAACAGAGTGAGTACCAGCTATAGTGAACCCTACTTATATTACCTACTTATATTAACAGAGTGAGTACCAGCTAAAGGGAATCCTACTTACATTAACAGAGTGAGTACCAGCTATAGGGAATCCTTCTTACATAAACAGAGTGAGTACCAGCTATAGGGAATCCTACTTACATTAACAGAGTGCGTACTAGCTAAAGGGAATCCTACTTGCATTAACAGAGTGAGTACCAGCTATAGGGAATCCTACTTAATTAACAGACTGAGTACCAGAAATTGGGAATCTTACTAACATCAACAGACTGAGTATCAGCTATAGGGAATCCTACTTGCATTAACAGACTGAGTACCAGCTATCGGGAATTCTACTTACATCAACAGACTGAGTATCAGTTGTAGGGAATCCTACTTGCATTAACAGACTGAGTACCAGCTATAGGGAATCCTACTTACATCAACAGATTGAGTACCAGCTATAGGGAATTCTATTTACATGAACAGACTGAGTACCAGCTATTGGGAATCTTACTAACATTAACAGACTGAGTATCAGCTATAGGGAATAATACTAACATTAACACACTGAGTACCATATCTATTGGGAATTATACTTACATTAACAGACTGAGAACCAGCTATAGGGAATCCTAATTACATTTACAGACTGAGTTCCAGCTATAGGGAATTCTACTTACATTAACAGACTGAGGTCCAGCTATAGGGAATCCTACTTACATCAACAGACTGAGTACAAGCTATAGGGAATCCTACTTACATTAACAGACTAGTACTAGCTATAGGGAATCCTACTTACACTAACAGACTGAGTACTAGCTACAGGGAATCCTAATTACATTAACAGACTGAGTTCCAGCTATAGGGAATCCTACTTACATTAACAGACTGAGGTCCAGCTATAGGGAATCCTACTTACATTAACAGACTGAGTACAAGCTATAGGGAATCCTACTTACATTAACAGACTGAGTACCAGCTCTAGGGAATCCTACTTACATTAACAGACTGAGTTCCAGCTATAGGGTATCCTACTTACATTAACAGACTGAGTTCCAGCTATAGGGAATCCTATACTATCATCTGTTTCTATTGCACCAAACATCTGAAATAAAAAAAAAACTCTAAAAATAGAACTTATTTCATATTATGGTGCAACTTTCTGTAGGAAAACTGAATATATATTTTCGATAAACAATCACTGTATGTTAGCAATATGTTTCTGTAAAACATTATTTATGATGTTAAGAAGGAGTGCATGCTCACAGAATTGTGGTTTTGTTAGCTTCACATTCAAACTTCCAAAATTTTCACCAAAATTGTATTGTTTGAATAGTTTCAGGTATGCATTATAAAAGTTATAAAAGAACTGTCAAAAATATACATTTATGTCTACTCAAACGGAAAGATGAAACTGGTCAACTTACCTCACATTTCTACCAGTTTCTAATTCTTGTACAAATCAATGTTATATTTGGAGAAAGTATAAATAAATGACCATGTGTATATAATTGTTAACCTATATTTCGCCATCCTTTCTATCAACCCAAGTCATATCACTTGAGTACCTTCCAAAATTTAAAATCAAATAGTCCTTGATATATGGTGTAGAAATAACTCTCTGAGAAAACTAAAATCTAAGGAAATTCAATGATAAAATCTACTAGTACTTTAATTCATAAAAGACATGCTATATATAGATTCTACCACTGCATCGAGTGTGATACGATATTTATCCACTCGAGACAGTTAAATTTTCAAATTTAAAACGCGAGGCTCGCCGAGCGTTTTAAATATTTAAAATTTAACTGTCGAGAGTGGATAAATATCGTATTACACGAGATTTGGTGGTGGAATCTGTTTCTCTAATGATTTTCAAACAATACGCAGGCAAATTTATTCCTTCTTTTCGAATGATCTGCAAAAAGATGTGTTCTTTCTACGTGACGTCATCAGGCATGGTCGCCTTTTTTCATGCCGTCACAATAGGAAATTCAGAGGAAAGCAAGAAAATTCGACGTCATAATCGGATTTTAACCAATGAAGAACTGAGATCAAACGAACCACATGTTGATTAAATTTTTTTTATACAATGGGTGCAGAAAGGGATAAATTGACGAAGAATTAGAGAAATATATATATTACTTTCGCTTGATTCTTCATATCTGCACTACACATAGCCAAGTGTGCATACAATATTTTGACCCTTAATTACAACTGAATATTGGTGATGTGTGCATTTACTGTAAGGTTGTCACTTGATTATTTTTTTATTTTCAGCAACGGCTAAAAAATATTATTTGTCATATTGGTAGTCATAATGGTTGGAGTAAGTAAAGTATATTGTTGATTATTGATAGGTCAAAGTCAAGAAGTGTTATCAAACACAGAACAAGACAATCATTGTTAGTATTATAATATATATATACATGTATATTCAAGACAAAAAGATAAAAAAAAAAAAATCCCTTCCAATTTGACTAGGGAGGTACAAGCTTACAGGCTGTTATCAATGTCACTATATATTTCCTCAGATAGAGATTCAGTTCAATAGTTTCTGAGGAAAAAGTGTAATACGTAAACTAAACAATTGAAACTATCTGCAAACAGGAAGTTGGTATCTGACAGATTCAAATAAGTGCCCACACTTTACAACTCATTACTGTCAAGCTGCTAACCAAATACAAAATTGTTCTGTTCAGTAGTTTCTGATTAAAAGTTTGACAAAAATATTTGTTGAAGAGCAGATGGATGAACAGACAAGGTGATTGCAATTATAGCCCCAACTTTTACTAAAGTAGGGGTATATAAAAGTCAGAAAGTTGATGAGTGGCTGATGTGAAAACCCATCACATGGTATAGCACGCTCGCTTGAAATTTGGTAACAGTTAGAGATAATGCAGTATACCCCCTTGGAGTGGAGGTATAAAAGGTTTATATCTAATTAAAGGGTAATATATTAACTATATTTTGTAGTAATGCCTTACTTTGAGTAGATTAGTAATATATGTAGCTATATTTTGCAGTAACATTCTGTTGGGCAGAGTTTTGTCAGTCTTGTGTTTGTTGATGTATATATTGCTGGCCTTTATCAGCTCTCTAACCTCATCTAATGCTGTCTTTGTGTCAACATTATCTGTAAATAAAGAAAACTGTAAAGTCAGCAAAATGCCTGTTGATACCAAATTAACATTGAATTACTATGGCATAAGTGTGACTTTAATCTGAATGTTTTTTTTGTAATCATAAAACAGAAACCAATACTATAAGGTATACTATCAAAAACTATTTAATCCTTTAAATTTTTTGCAGATGGAATAAAGCTAGCCAGTTCTTTTTTTTTCCGCCAAGTTTCAAATAAAATATATAAATCACAAAGTTAATCTTGATCTGTGTTTTATCAGTGGAAGTCAAAATTAAACATTGCATTGTATAAAGCATTGATTGTAGTTGATTCAACTATAATCATGGACAAAGGAAGATAACTCCAATTTTAAAAATTATTTGATATTTAGAAGAAAATAAAAAGTTTGCAATTTTTCCATTTATAAAGGGGCATAACTCTAGAACGGTTAAAGTGACGCCACCAACATTCAAACTTGATCTGTGTTTTGTGGTAATAAGCATTGTGTATAAGTTTCATAACATTTAGTTGAGGCAAACTTAAGTTAGAGAACGGAAACTAAAAATTTTGCAATTTTTTCCATTTATAAAGGGGCATAACTCTAGAACGGTTAAAGTGACGCCACCAAAATTCAAATTTGATCGTTGTTTTGTAGTAATAAGCATTGTGTATAAGTTTCATTACATTTGGTTGAGACAAACTTAAGTTAGAGAACGGAAACTAAAAATTTTGCAATTTTTCCATTTATAAAGGGGCATAACTCTAGAACGGTTAAACTGACGCCACCAAAATTCAAACTTGATCTGTGTTTTGTGGTAATAAGCATTGTGTATAAGTTTCATAACATTTGGTTGAGGCAAACTCAAGTTAGAGAACGGAAACCAATTTGGGACGTACGTACGTACAGACAGACAAGGGTAAAACTTAAGGCGGGGGCATATAAATTGTCAATTCAGCATTCACTGAAATATAAATTTAGATGATTACAATTTGCGAAATATAAAATGCCCAAATTTTTCATATACTTTAAGACAACTCTAAACTACTAAATTTTATACCTGCATAAAAACTGAAGAAACCTTTTAAAACCACTTAAAAGAACTCAGTATGTACACAGGAGAGACCTAATCAAGTTATCCAGTACCTAATCATACTAATAATGTTTCCACAGGAGACAAATATATCACTGTCTGGTTTAAGCTTTGACAATTGGTTTGTATCAGACTTACCACAAAGAGCAGCATGGACATTAGTTCTTGTGTCCATCAATCTGAAATAAATCAAACGTAGCATGTCATTTTAATATATCTATATGATTTATCTGTATGCAGAAAACATTATTCTCTTATGGTTGTGGCCTGTTAGCTATTTCTCGCATGAGGAGATATTTCTTGTATCACACTGCACGGAGTGTATACGAAAAATTAGTATGGGTATTAAGGCCCAATTTTGGTACAGGAAAATTAAGTTTTTGAGAACTATTTTTCAAATTTGCACATAATGTTTGGAAATGCATAAAATCAAGAAATATAAATGAATTAAAGAAATTTTGTGAGCACGCTCACATACCCCACGCCCCCACATTGTCACTGGGAAAACAAAATCTCACCACATTTCTATGTTAAATGACTCGCAACTCCTACAGGTTGCAATTCTGTAAATATAGACAATGCAATTTCCCATAGGAACTCCCTTTGCGGCTGAAACTGTGACACTTTTACTATGAAGTTTCGTGAAAAATAATATCCCAGAACGGAAAGTTTATATGCACTACTATTTTATTCAAAGGTCAAAATATAGGGCTGTGCGGCATATTTTCAACATTTATATGCCCTGAACTTCTAAGAGTTAAAACTTGTACTAAAATTCTATACTACCCTTACCTCCATATTTGGACCTCCTAAGAATTAAAATTTAGGCGCTACCATGTTTTTCTATACTGGTTACATTCCCAAATGATGTCTCTACGAGATGAAACACAGAGATCATAAATGGGAACCAGTACGTTAGCCAATTAACATATCTATGAATATTATATATCTCCCCAAAAGAGGCGTGGTTTGAGAAACAGCTGTATTTCCAAAGTGCAACCTACAATAATCAACTGATAAAAAATTTCTTGTGGATATGCAAATCTACATAGTATGGCCTTATCATTTTCCCTCAGTCGTGGTCATAATTTCAATTCAAATTTCCAATGGAGTTTGCAACCATAATACCGGTAACCCATTTAAATACATCATAAAAGTCTTAAAATAGAAAATGACATGCATAATCATAGCTAAAATTAATTTACCTTAATCAGCATTTTTTAAATTATTAAAATAGTAACTTCTAAAAATGAATTGACAGCTAATCACCTCAAGACAATACAAAAATTCTTTATCCATAATTTAAAAGCAGTGTAAGGGAGGTAATTCAAAGTTGTGTTTGAATTACCTCCCTTACACTGTAATTTGTACTTTAGTAATTGTCCATTAACCAGGAAACCCTTGTTTTTTCTCACTTTTTTGCCCCCAATTCCTAAACGGTTTGAGCCCCCCAAAGCCAATCCTGACCATCCCTTTGTGGTATGGAAACTTGTGGTATAATTTCAGAGAGATCCATACACTGTTCCACAAGTTATTGTCATGAAACTAGAAAAATGCTTATTTGGGCCCCTTTTTGGCCCCTATTTCCTAAACTGTTGGTACCATAACCCCCAAAATCAATCCCAACCTTCCTTTTGTGGTATTGAACCTTATGGTAAAATTTCAAAGAGATCCATTCACTTTAACTAAAGTTATTGTGCGAAAACCAATGTGTCTTCGGACGACGACGACGACATACCAATATACGACCGCAAAAAATATTTTTTGCGGTCGTATAAAAATTGAATTATAATTTCCTGTTGATATGCAAATTTACATAGTATGTCCTTATGATCTACAAAATTACATGAAATTCTGTTGTGTGGTTTTAGAGGAGTTGCGATGACAATCTGTTGCTATAGTATATTTAGAACAAAATTCTAAGTTCAAAGGGGCATAACTCCTAGAAATAAAATGCTCCGCAGGGCGCAGCTTGATACGACCGCAGAGGTCGAACCCTGAACAGTTGGGGCAAGTATGGACACAATATTCAAGCTTGATACAGCTCTGAATTTGGATTGTGATTAAATATTTGACACAGCATAGGTTTCTGACACAGAATGAATGTGGTCTAAGAACTTAAAATTTTTAAATTGGACATTCACCTATTATGGTCCAATATCCAAAATCTAAATACATGGTTAGATTCAGCATATCAAAGATCCCCAAGAATTCAATTTTTGATGAAATCAAACAAAGTTTAATTTTGGACCCCGATTTGGACCAACTTGAAAACTGGGCCCATAATCAAAAATCTAAATACATGTTTAGATTCAGCATATCAAAGAACCCTAAAAATTCAATTTTTGTTAAAATCAAACTAAGTTTAATTTTGGACCCTTTGGACCTTAATGTAGACCAATTTGAAAATGGAACCAAAAATTAAGAATCTAAATACACGGTTAGATTCGGCATATCAAAGAACCCCAAAAATTCAATTTTTGATGAAATCAAACAAAGTTAAATTTTGGACCCTTTTGACCTCAATGTGGAAAAAGTTGATAACGGGGCCCAAAAATCAAAAATCTAAATACATGGTTAGATTCAGCATATCAAAGAACCCCATATATTCAATTTTTGTTGAAATCAAACAAAGTTTAATTTTGGACCCCGATTTGGACCAACTTGAAAACTGGGCCCATAATCAAAAATCTAAATACATGTTTAGATTCAGCATATCAAAGAACCCTAAAAATTCAATTTTTGTTAAAATCAAACTAAGTTTAATTTTGGACCCTTTGGACCTTAATGTAGACCAATTTGAAAACGGAACCAAAAATTAAGAATCTAAATACACGGTTAGATTCGGCATATCAAAGAACCCCAATAATTCAATTTTTGATGAAATCAAACAAAGTTAAATTTTGGACCCTTTTGACCTCAATGTGGAAAAAGTTGATAACGGGGCCCAAAAATCAAAAATCTAAATACATGGTTAGATTCAGCATATCAAAGAACCCCATATATTCAATTTTTGTTGAAATCAAACAAAGTTTAATTTTGGACCCCGATTTGGACCAACTTGAAAACTGGGCCCATAATCAAAAATCTAAATACATGTTTAGATTCAGCATATCAAAGAACCCTAAAAATTCAATTTTTGTTAAAATCAAACTAAGTTTAATTTTGGACCCTTTGGACCTTAATGTAGACCAATTTGAAAACGGAACCAAAAATTAAGAATCTAAATACACGGTTAGATTCAGCATATCAAAGAACCCCAATAATTCAATTTTTGATGAAATCAAACAAAGTTAAATTTTGGACCCTTTGGACCTCAATGTGGACCAATTTAAAAACGGGGCCCAAAATCCAAAAACTTAATACACGGTTAGATTCAGCATATTAAAGAACCCCAAGAATTCAAGAATAAAACCCCATTGAAATTGATCAAGAAATAAGCAATTTATACGAAGTATCTTCTTTTGCACAATACTGTGCAATTGAATATTTCTTGCTATTGCGCAATACTGTACAATTGACAATTTCTTGCTATTGCGCAATATTGTGCTATTGGATATTTCTTGCTATTGCGCAATACTGTGCAATTGAAGATTTCTTGCTATTGCGCAATACTGTGCAATTGAAGATTTCTTGTTATTGTGCAATACTGTGCAATTGAAAATTTCTTGCTATTGCACAATACTTATTAGATAATAATTTACACATCCTGTTTGGTGTGTATCTCCTACCATATCATTATTATTTGCTTTTAAATATTAATCAGAAATAACCAACTTAAAATGGAAAATTTTAAAAGAAAAAAAAAAGGAAAAAAAGAAAAAAAAAGAAAAAAAAAAAATCCCCCCCCAAATTTTTTGAACCCCCTTATGATTCATCACCCCCAAACTCAATCCCAGCCTTCCCTTTGTGGTATGGTACCTTGCAGTACAATTTCAGAGAGATGCTTACACTTGAACACAAGTTATTGTCTGGAAACTAGAAAAATGCTTATTTTTGGCCCCTTTTTGGCCCCCAATTCCTAAACGTTTCGGGCAATTACCCCCAAACTCAATTCCAGCTTTCCCTTTGTGATATGGAACCTTGTAGTACAATTTCAGAAATATCCAAACACTTACACACAAGTTATTGTCATGAAACTAGAAAAATGCTTGTTTTTGCCCCTTTTTTGGCCCCTAATTCCTAAAATTTTGAGGCAATTACCCCCAAAATCAATTACAGCCTTTCCTTTGTGATATGGAACCTTGTGGTACAATGTCAGAGAGATCCATACACTTACACACAAGTTATTGTCTGGAAGTTACAAAAATGCTTATTTTTGGCCCCTTTTTGGCCCCTAATTCCTTAACTGTTGGTACCATAACCCCCAAAATCAATCCCAACCTTCCTTTCGTGGTATTGAACCTTATGGTAAAATTTCATGGAGATCCATTCACTTAAACTAAAGTTAGAGTGCGAAAACCAATGTGTCTTCGGACGACGCCGGACGACGCCAGACGACGACGACGACGACGACGACGACGACGCCGGACGACGACGACGCCAACGTCATACCAATATACGACCAAAAAATTTTTAATTTTTGCGGTCGTATAAAAAGTTGAATCATAAATTCCTGTCGATATGCACATCTACATAATATGTTTTTATTATCTACAAAGTTTCATGAAATTCTCTTGCAGTTTCAGAGAAGTTGTGATGACAAAGAACAGAATTGACGGACTGACGGAGGGACAGACAGACGGGTCAAAAACATTATACCCTATGGAAATTTGTTTTTGATGTAATAACATCTCAGTTAAGTCAAATATAATATGCACTGTTTTCATGAAAACAAAGAAAACTGCAGAATTTATGCACTTTTCCATTGTTATTTCTTTTGTGGAAACATTATGGTAGCCAAGAAACAACAAAATAATTTAAGAGTTGCTTGATTATAACTATTGACATAATCTCACCAAATATAAAGTTGTTTCTTGGGTGTGCACATACTTTTCCAATCCAATATATACTTAATAAAATGCTTCGCAGGTTGCAGCTTGATTCAACCACAGAGGTAGAACCCTGAACAGTTGGGGCAAGTATGGACACTACATTCAAGCTTGATATAGATCTGAATTTGGATTGTGTTTAAATATTTGACACAGCATAGGTTTACGACACAGAATGAATGTGGTCAAAAAACTGAAAAATAGGAAATTGGACTTTTACCAATTATGGTCCAATATCCAATATCTAAAAACAGTTAGATTTAGCATATCCAAGTACACCAAGAATTTAATTTATTTATTTATAAATGGACAATATTAGCTAAATAATTTCTACATTCAAATTTTGGTGTGTATAAATGAGAAAATATATTAATCCTGTATCTGTACCTTTTATTGAGACTGACTTCCTCTGGGTTCCATTTATGGAAAGCTGCTATACCTGTAGAGGCAGTGTTTCTTAATATACTCTGTATTGTCAGGAAAAACTCCTAAAATCAAATTCTAAATTTTTAACAAAATTGTCTACAAAGAGAAGTAAAGAGTTTGCCAAAATATTATTCATGGATCATACAGACCTTTTCACTTAATTAGCTAAACACAAATCCAGAAAGCATTACTTTCATTTGGAAAGAATTAACCTCACTTGTAATCGAAGGCTGTAAGTGAAGTGTTAATATTTTAAGGCATATGACCAAGCAAGATGAAATCTTGATCTACAACACTATTCATTCTGTTTGCTGGTTTCAATATTTCAAGGACTATAAGTATTTAGCAATAGAAAACCGGTCTCTAAAAACACTGCAAAGAACATGTATTATATGTCTGTGGTATCATGATAAATTAGGTAAAATCTGTGTATCATGCTTAATGGAGAAAGCCGCAAAAGAAAAACTATGTCCTGTTCACCTACTTTTTTATCAGAAAAAAACAATAAGTTATGGCTTAGGTTTTTAATTGTGCAGCAAATTTAAAATTTAATACATGACAAATATTGAAATTATTATAATGAGAAAGAAATTTAACATCCTGTCCTATAGTGACTATACCCTCTAGAAAAAAGAATTGTATTTTAGTTTAAATTACTGCTTTAGAAATCGTTGTAGACTTTGATATATATAATTAGTTTTTTTTAACTATGAAATTATTTTCATTTATTTTAAGGGGGCATTTTCCCTTTTTAAGATAGAAAGAACAGGTTATTATAATAACCTTAGTTTTTAAATTGCTCAGTAAATTCAGGAACATATATATTAATGTATATTAGGTATACTGTTCCCAAATAAATTCAAAATAAGACAAATATTAAATTGATTATTGATATAAAACATTTTCTTTGTGTGTAAAACCCCTTGGAAGGAGTCATCCTAATTAATTTATTGACAATAGAACAATTATATTTCCTGTGATAATTAACTAATTAGTGACAATGAAATGCCTGGCAGGAGTTATTCTAATAATGACAATAGTGAGTATTGTTATAAACCTGTCAGTCAAGATGAGCAGATTTGATTGGGTAATTCTATAAATTATGCTGTGAGGTTTAATCACTCATCATTACCTTCATTCCATCTAGGTAAACTTTGTTCAATTTCCTACATTACAAGGTTGTCCTTGCAAGAAGGCTGAACTAGATCATCCACTTTTTTGAAATAACAGACAAGCTTTTGAGAGGTAATAATCAATATAATTTATTTGGTTAGCATAATATTTATTTCTTTTAATTTGGTTTTGAAACCATATTTATTAATTATAAAATTATTTCCCATTTTAACTAATAAGTTACAATGAAAAATCAAATTAATGAGTTATAAAGAGTTTTGTGTCTTGGTGGCTATTTCATCTATATATACCAACTGAAACAACTTGCTTTTGGTTAGAAATTGTTGACAATGTTTAACAAGAGGCTCTAAGGAGCCTGTGTCGCTCACCTGCATCTTCAATAATGGCCACTTTTAGTAAAAATCAGCATGAAAGGGGAACAATTCTATTAAGGGTTTTAAAACCACCAACTTCAGTAATGTTGACTTATTTGTAGATCTTATCCTGCTGATAATTTTTCCTTTTTAATTTTCTATCTATCTATTATAGTTTTCAAGATAATAGGCAAACAAATGTAAAAAATTATCATTAAAGGTCAATTACTCCAAGACGAGTCAACTGAAGATCTCGACCATTATTCTATCTAACTATTAATAGTGGTTAACTAAAGTTGTCTTCCCATGTATGTTTTATATGTTTTATGCAAGAGCACTAAGGCTATCTATGTCTGGGGTAGAACAACATACTGTTCAAAACCAGATGTCATCACATATAAAGTATATTATTGTATAGTATGATTCCACATGCACAAATTCTTTAATAAACAATACAATAATGTTTAAATTAAAAACACTCTGTCACATACACATGTGAAACAAGAGGTTAACATATACAAAATATAATCACACACATACCTGATAAATCATACTTTAACTTTAATAACTTTGAAACAAATAAAGATACATTTTATAGTACATAAAATTGAGAATGGAAATAGGGAATATGACAAAGAGACAACAACCCAACCAAAAGCAGACAACAGCCGAAGGCCACCAATTGGTCTTCAACGCAGCTAGAAAATCCTGCACCCGGAGGATGTCCTCAACTGGCCCCTAAATAAAATAGTGTTTACCTTTATATTACACTATGAAAGTAACTTTTCATTTTTACTGTGTTGGGATGTTTTACATAGTATTCTGGAACTTGTGTTGATTTTTGATATTTTTTACTTGGATAGAATTACATTCGAATAAGTATTTGTATCATTACTAATATCATTCCAACACAAATATTACATACACTCTCTTTTTAGGAATAGTGTACCCCTACACAGCTCTACTAGAATTTTCACATTACAACATCTTAATTTAGAAATATAGATTCATGTTCAATGGGTGATAATTGTCTAAGCTTCTTTTCTAAACCAGATATTGTTTTGAACATTTAGACTGTAAAATTCAATTGATTTACATCTAATGGCATTGCTGTCAGAGTCCAAACATAGCTAAGTCCAGAATAAAAAAAAACAATTTAAGATACCAGTAGTCAATCCACTTGAACGTATAATCGTCTTTTAAGTTGATACTGCTTAGTTTGTTTTCAAGAATTGGTACTTCTATGTAAAATATTACCTTAAAAGCAAACAAGTATATGAAATAACCCATATATCTTTCTTTTAAGATTGATACACTTACTAAATTTAAGCTTGGCAAATTTTAAGCTTTAGCTTTGATAGTTACAACAATGAATAACTTTCCCTTATAAACCAAAGAGCAACTTTAAGGCAAGAAAATAAAAGATTTTTTTCTTTTTTTTCAGACCTGAAGTCTTTGATAAGATCACTAATTAATCCACAATGCCTGAAGAAACATCTACACAACAGCCACAAGAAGATGTCAAAGCAGAAAGTTCTGGTATAGAACATATAAACATCAAAGTAACAGGACAAGATGGTAACACGGTTCACTTCAAAATCAAACGTAAAACACCGTTACGTAAATTGATGAATGCATACTGTGACAGAGCTGGGTTAACATCATCTATGGTACGGTTCAGGTTTGATGGTAACCCAATTAATGAAACAGACACACCAACAGAGTTAGATATGGAAGATGGGGACTCCATAGACGTGTTTCAGTCACAAACAGGAGGAAAATAAAACAGTTCAATGACTCTAAATATTCATCAGTCATCACAATCTTCTGACACAAGCTACCAGTGACTGTAAAAATAATCATTCATTCAAGACAGATCCTTTTATTTGCCAAGTTCATCATTATCTTCCATTATCCAAAAACGGATCATTCATCTTCATTCATTTGACATTGATAATTATTATGGATTATTTGTATCACCATCATATGCCAAGTATTATTATCCTCACCATCCATCCAGCATAGATATTTCCATCTTTATTCATTTGATATTGACCATTTTCATCACATTCATTATGTCATAGATCACAGCCATCACCATTCATCTGCCATATATCATTTTCATCTTCATTCATCTGTCAAAGATCACCATCATCACCATTCATCTGTCATACATGTAGATCACCATTCATCTGCCATAGATCATTTTCATCATCATTTTCGTATGCTATAGATCATCATCACCATTCATCAGACATATATTATTGTACCACCATTCCTTTGACATAGATCATTATCATAACCATTCATGTGCCATAAATAAGATCACTGTCATCACCATTGATTTGTGGTATCCATTAATGATATTACAATCATTGTCATAACCATCATTATCATCATCATTGTCATAATTGTCATCATCATTGTCATAATCGTCATTTTCATAATTGTCATCATCATCATCATTGTCATAATCATGTACATATAAACAAGTAAATGCCACTTACATGATGTAAAATATATATCACAAAATTAAAATTGTAATAAATTGTAGTAGATATTTGCTGTCATTAAAAATTAAAAAAAAAACATTATGTAATTCAAAGCTTTTTTCACCTGAAACAACAAAAATGAAGGTTTACAAAATACTTCTTTTCAGGTCTTAATTAACCTGACATCAGTACTTTTTATTGGGCTTATAAAGGCAAAAGAAAACTTGATTGGTTCATTAATTTTTTTCTCATCATTTAAAGTTGTAAGGCCCAACTCATCAAGTAATGCATAAGGAATCATTATGCTTATTGACCATGTGACTGCTAAAACATCAGGATGTTAATATACAATCTCCGATTCTGTTAACCCTCCATTTCATTGACAATCTTTGGAAACAGACATCCTATTTTCATATAGACTGTCTGCATATACCCTTGATTTGACATAATAGTAATGTCAAAAGCCATCAATATTCCCTATTATTTACATGATTCTAATTTTTCTGAATAGTTCAGGGTAAAAACATTATTTCCTTTCACTAGCATGGGTATGCAGCTATAATGAGGGTCATTAAGGAGAGTATGTGCATGGATGAGCAGGCAATAAAGGCCATTTCATGATAAACATTGCTTTCTTACCAATTTACACAAAACACAGTGATTTTTGAGAAAACAGGAAAACATTTGAAACAAAAAATAACCTTGTACAACCCCCTTCAACGTTCAGTACTGGGAAGAGCAATAGCCCAATCTTTTGGGTTAAGTTAATTCTGCTTATGCTGTATTTCTGGACTATCTCTCTACATTGTCTAAATCATCTGAACTTAGTGAGGGCTTTCATCTGCTGTTCATCTTCTATAGAAATAAGAAGATGTGGTATGAGTGCCAATGATACAGCTCTCCATCCAAGTCACAATGTGTGAAAAGTAAACAATTATAGGTCAAAGTACGGCCTTCAACACAGAGCCTTGGCTCACACTGAACAGCAAGCTATAAAGGGCCCCAAGATGACTAGTGTAAAACAATTCAAACAGGAAAACCAACGGTCTAATCTATATAAGAAACGAGAAACACTTAAGAACCACATCAACAAGCGACAACCGCTGAACAACAGGCTCCTGACTTAGGACAGGTGCAAACAAATGCAGCGGGTTTAAACATTTTAACAGGCGCCAACCTTCACCCTAACCTGAAATAGTAGTGTAACATTACAACATAGAAAGACAAACTATAAGATATCAATTGAAATGGATTAACTCAATCAAAAAGACATATTAACAATAAAATGCTTCGCTGGGCGCAGCTTGATACGACCGCAGAGGTCGAACCCTGAACAGTTGGGGCAAGTCTGGACACAACCTTCAAGCTTGATACAGCTCTGAATTTGGATTGTGATTAAATATTTGACACAGCATAGGTTTCTGACACAGAAAGAATGTGGTCTAAGAACTTCAATTTTTTTTAATTTACCTATTATGGTCCAATGTCCAAAATCAAAATACATGGCTAGATTCAGCATATCAAAGAACCCCATATATTCAATTTTTGTTGAAATCAAACAAAGTTTAATTTTGGACCCCAACTTGGACAAACTTGAAAACTGGTCCCATAATCAAAAAATCTAAACACATGTTTAGATTCAGCATATCAAAGTACCCCAAGAATTCAATTTTTGTTAAAATCAAACTAAGTTTAATTTTGGACCCTTTGGACCTTAATGTAGACCAATTTAAAAAACGGGACCCAAAATTAAAAATCTAAAAACACGGTTAGATTTGGCATATCAAAGAACCCCAATAATTCAATTTTTGATGAAATCAAACAAAGTTTAATTTTGGACCCTTTTGACCTCAATATGAACCAATTTGATAGCGGGCCCACAAAATCAAAAATCTAAATACATGGTAAGATTCAGCATATCAAAGAACCCCATATATTCAATTTTTGTTGAAATCAAACAAAGTTTAATTTTGGACCCCGATTTGGACCAACTTGAAAACTGGGCCCATAATCAAAAATCTAAATACATGTTCAGATTCAGCATATCAAAGAACCCCATATATTCAATTTTTGTTGAAATCAAACAAAGTTTAATTTTGGACCCCAACTTGGACCAACTTGAAAACTGGGCCCATAATCAAAAATCTAAACACATGTTTAGATTCAGCATATCAAAGAACCCCAAGAATTCAATTTTTGTTAAAATCAAACTAAGTCTAATTTTGGACCCTTTGGACCTTAATGTACACCAATTTAAAAATGGGACCCAAAATTAAAAATCTAAATACACGGTTAGATTTGGCATATCAAAGAACCCCAATAATTCAATTTTTGATGAAATCAAACAAAGTTTAATTTTGAACCCTTTTCACCTCAATATGAACCAATTTGATAGCGGGTCCACAAATAAAAAATCTAAATACATGGTTAGATTCAGCATATCAAAGAACCCCAAGAATTCAATTTTTTATGAAATCAAACAAAGTTTAATTTTGGACCCTTTTGACCTCAATGTGGACAAAGTTGATAACGGGGCCCAAAAATCAAAAATCTAAATACATGGTTAGATTCAGCATATCAAAGAACCCCATATATTCAATTTTTGTTGAAATCAAACAAAGTTTAATTTAGGACCCCGATTTGGACCAACTTGAAAACTGGGCCCATAATCAAAAATCTAAATACATGTTTAGATTCAGCATATCAAAGAACCCTAAGAATTCAATTTTTGTTAAAATCAAACTAAGTTTAATTTTGGACCCTTTTGACCTTAATGTAGACCAATTTGAAAACGGAACCAAAAATTAAGAATCTAAATACACGGTTAGATTCGGCATATCAAAGAACCCCAATAATTCAATTTTTGATGAAATCAAACAAAGTTAAATTTTGGACCCTTTGGACCTCAATGTGGACCAATTTAAAAACGGGGCCCAAAATCCAAAAACTTAATACACGGTTAGATTCAGCATATTAAAGAACCCCAAGAATTCAAGAATAAAACCCCATTGAAATTGATCAAGAAATAAGCAATTTATACGAAGTATCTTCTTTTGCACAATACTGTGCAATTGAATATTTCTTGCTATTGTGCAATACTGTACAATTGACAATTTCTTGCTATTGCGCAATATTGTGCTATTGGATATTTCTTGCTATTGCGCAATACTGTGCAATTGAAGATTTCTTGCTATTGCGCAATACTATGCAATTGAAGATTTCTTGCAATTGTGCAATACTGTGCAATTGAAAATTTCTTGCTATTGCACAATACTTATTATATAATAATTTACACATCCTGTTTGGTGTGTATCTCCTACCATATCATTATTATTTGCTTTTAAATATTAATCAGAAATAACCAACTTAAAATGGAAAATTTTAAAAGAAAAAAAAAAGGAAAAAAAGAAAAAAAAAGAAAAAAAAAAAATCCCTCCCCCCAAATTTTTTGAACCCCCTTATGATTCATCACCCCCAAACTCAATCCCAGCCTTCCCTTTGTGGTATGGTACCTTGCAGTACAATTTCAGAGAGATGCATACACTTGAACACAAGTTATTGTCTGGAAACTAGAAAAATGCTTATTTTTGGCCCCTTTTTGGCCCCCAATTCCTAAACGTTTCGGGCAATTACCCCCAAACTCAATTCCAGCTTTCCCTTTGTGATATGGAACCTTGTAGTACAATTTCAGAAATATCCAAACATTTACACACAAGTTATTGTCATGAAACTAGAAAAATGCTTGTTTTTTGCCCCTTTTTTGGCCCCTAATTCCTAAAATTTTGAGGCAATTACCCCCAAAATCAATTACAGCCTTCCCTTTGTGATATGGAACCTTGTGGTACAATGTCAGAGAGATCCATACACTTACACACAAGTTATTGTCTGGAAGTTACAAAAATGCTTATTTTTGGCCCCTTTTTGGCCCCTAATTCCTTAACTGTTGGTACCATAACCCCCAAAATCAATCCCAACCTTCCTTTCAAGGTATTGAACCTTATGGTAAAATTTCATGGAGATCCATTCACTTAAACTAAAGTTAGAGTGCGAAAACCAATGTGTCTTCGGACGACGCCGGACGACGCAAGACGACGACGACGACGACGACGCCAACGTCATACCAATATACGACCAAAAAATTTTCAATTTTTGCGGTCGTATAAAAACAAGTAAACATACACTGAACGAATAAATTTGATCTATGACACAATATAAATACAATATTAAATAAAAAAAGAGGGGATTTTAGTTCTGATGATGTATACCTCATTGGAAATGTTAATGAAATAAAAAGCTTTGATTGTTCCAGCATTTCCATTTTACAAGTACTATCCAAGGATGTAGTCATTCTACTGTAGCCAACACTGTGGGAAAAGGGACCTTTTTTTCGGGGTGTTGGGATTAAGACTTTATTATTGCAGGAAATCGGGTTGGGCCTAAATTTTTGCAGGAATTCAGGATTTACCCTTAAGGAACTCAGGAATGAATTATTTTTAATTGGTGATCTTGGACAGAATGCTTTATATTTTCAGAATTCGGGAAGACATCCCCTCCTACCGGCCCTCAACACTGTGTAATTGATACTGTTTGTCACATTGAAACTTAGAAAATGGAAAGTATAGTTGACACAGTGTGGTCCATTGTGCTGTAATAACATTGTAAATCACAAACATTGACACAGTGTGGTCCATTGTGCTGTAATAACATTGTAAATCACAAACATTGACACAGTGTGGTCCATTGTGCTGTAATAATATTGTAAATCACAAACAATGACACAGTGTGGTCCATTGTGCTGTAATAATATTGTAAATCACAAACATTGACACAGTGTGGTCCATTGTGCTGTAATAATATTGTAAATCACAAACATTGACACAGTGTGGTCCATTGTGCTGTAATAACATTGTAAATCACAAACAATGTCACAGTGTGGTCCATTGTGCTGTAATAATATTGTAAATCACAAACATTGACACAGTGTGGTCCATTGTGCTGTGTAATAATATTTTAAATCACAAACATTTCTGTTTAACTTACAATCAATATACAGTAGTTATAATAAATTTGTAAAAAAAAAAGCCACACAAATATCATTACTGGTATACAAATATAGAAGAAAACATTAAATCATTACCTGTAAAAGTTTTTCATATTTCAATGCTCCTTCCATGCTGTTTGACCCATAATCTAATGTATCATTCCAGGAGTGTAGTAAAAACAATAGTCGTAGCTGTCTGGCCGTGTGCTGTTTTAAAGCATCAGTTATGGAAATAAAATTTTTCAGTGATTTTGACATCTTGCAGCCTTCTATTGTTAAGTGTCCTGAATGAAGGAAGTACTTCACCCATTGGTCATTTTGGAAGTATGCCTACAAAAAAATGTAGAAGAAGAATTTACTACTACATTATGGAAAGTCAAATTCATCCACAACACTCTCTTTTTACATCTATTTTTAATATTCTTTACAAATAAAACAGACTCAAATCTTTATTTTTGTCTTGCCTTAACAAAGTTAAAAAAGTGAGATTGTTTCCGGCAGTGGCATCTACAATGTATAAGTTTGTGATTAGATCAGTTTATTGGGAACCACTAGGAAGGTCAATCTGGTATGCAGTTGCATTAGCATTGGCACATCTAATTGCCATGGAGATTATTTTGTCTATTAACTTTGTAACTTTTGCATAGTTTACTTGTTAAATAGAACTAATGAAGAAATATCTGTCAGTCAACACTTTATTTATTTTAAAGTCATACTGAGCAGTTTTTTTTATCTACTTAAAAAAAAATAGAAATGTGAGTGAAATCACAAAAACTCCCTGACCCACACATTTGATTATCCTGCTGGACCTTGATTATATTCCTTTATGCCCGTCCTCAGGTGGTGTTCTACAACTGCTTTAAGTTTTATGAATCTTATCTAGCTTCAAGGAAGATTTGCCATTACAAGAGATTATTACCATCTATTGCAATATTGAAGTAAGTTTGATTATCTCCTCTATATCATATGGTCCTTTACGCATATCTTCAGATATCACTTTACAATGTGTAAAGTATATCTGTCATGCTGTTTCAGAGGATTTGCCATTTTAGACTATTACTACATATTGCAACATTGAAGTAAGCTGAATTATCTTCCCTTTAACATGTCAGTCCTGGATTATATTCCTGTATGCACATCCAGGTTAGAGTTAGTTATATGACTGGGTATAGTTTCATCCATATTATCTATCTTAGGAGTTAGGCTTACAAGCACATGGACAGAGGGACGAAGGGAGGAACAGAATGATTTCTATATACTCTACAAAAATTTGTTTGCAGGGGGATCCTCCCACCCTCCTCACCATACCCATATTACTAAAGGGGTTATAAAGTGATCCTTGTGTCTTTTTGTTATAGACCTTATATGGAAATTGTTACATCTAGATTCTCATCCCTTTTTGGCCAATGGTATTACATATATATGTATGCTCCTGTCAATTTGTATACATTGTGTTCACAGCTATGGCAAAGTCAATCTCCAAAATTCATTTGGATAAAAAAAATAGAAAAGGTTTACATTGCCATTAGATGCTTTAGATTCTCTAAAAGTTTTTATTAAAGATCAGATACTGGTTGAGCAGGATTTGTTTAAATAAACTAAGAGATGAATCAATAACTAGCCACAAGGATCATTTTATAGAAGCTTCATTTTACTTCCACATGGTTACACATACCTCTGCCTGGGCCAGTTCATTATCATGATGTGGAAACTTCAGATCACATCCTCCTGTGTGGATCTCCATGGACTCTCCTAAAATACTGCTGGCCATTACTGAGCATTCAATATGCCATCCTGGTCTACCCTAAAATAATAAAGCATACTATCTATTTTTTGCTTTTTAAATTCAAGGAAGATTGCCAAAAACCCAAGGGCTACTAGTAGTTAGCATTGAATATCCAAAATACTGCTTGCCATTACTGTTGTGTATTACCCAACATTCAATGTGCCAACCTGACCTTCCCTTTAATAAATTGTGTGAGTCTTCCAATAATATAAACAGAAATACTGAAGTCCATGTATTATTATAGGAAACCAAAACATCACTCAGATCAAAAATTAAAGGTGCATGACTTCATGTCCTTTAGAAAAAATCTATAAAAGTTTGGTAGAATTCTTTCAAGCCATTTCTAAGGAGTTTTGGATTAACAATGTGTGACATAGATGACAATAGACAACTATACTAACAGCTATTTACTAAGCAATATTTCTGCTTGTGGATCTTTGCACCAATAAACATCATGTGACCAAAATTGATCGGAAATTTTACTATATTGTCTATAACTTACATGTTTTTTTCATTATTAAGATTTTTTGTCATAAGAGTTGCCGGTCTTACTTTCTATTAAAAAAACCCAAAACTATCCACTATTCTTCTAGCCATGACTTCAAGTTTCACTTTATAGGCGTTTCACCTTTTTTTTTATTTCAGTTAAATCTATGATGAAATCTGTTTTATACCTCTGTAATATGGATTGAACTGACCTGTTTTTCATTTATTATTTTGTTATTCAAGCTTATTAATAAATTTGATTTGACTCAACATATCATTAAAGGGAGACAATTCAATTTAATTTACCTGTCCCATAACTAAATATCCCCCTTTTTTCTTAATTCTTTAAATAGTAGATTTAAGTTTAAATTCATGTGTGAATTTAAACTTCAACTTTGTCAATGTTGAAATATTTAACTTTGAATGAAAAAACTCTCACTTATTTGAAACTGAAGTAGTAAATACAGGGTACAGGAGGTCACTCCTAATATCCATTACCTACAAACAAGTGTTTCAAAGAATATAACTGTCACATTGCAATTCATAAAGTGAAAAATTTCAGAAAATTCCTGTGATTTTACACTTAACTTTTACAAACATTTTAGCCATGTATTAGATTTTTTAGTTGTATTTACAGAATTCAGGACCTTTTTAAATATCTTGTAATAAAGATTTGAAAGGACAACAGACATATTTAAATCTGCTTTATATCTTGAATTACATCACAGAAATGGATAAAGAGGTTTGGTTGAGAACTTTATAACAAAAGAGATAGTAACATCTGCATATGGAGTATATATATCCAAGTAGATGTAATATTTCAGACTTGTAATTCCTATCATAATTTCCTTAATAGAGGGCTGCTGCTTACAAGAAAGCTACTCAACGAAGGGTTTCTATTGTAAGAGGTCTTGGTGGCTTAGTGGTCTAAGTAGTTAGAACTACTCTCATGGCAAGGTGGTTTTGACTCTGATCTTAACTGACCGGGATTGTCAGTTTTCCTGTAAAAGGTATGTAGTTTTCATTGGGTACCCTGAATTCCTCATGTAATAAAAACTAGATGCCAAGATATAGCAAAAGAGCTGAAAGTGCAGTTTAACATCAACAATCAATCATTCCTATTGGTAATGTTTCCAGACAAGATCAAGATTTGGAAAGATCTGTGTCAATTGTCATAGCCAAAATCCCATGCTTTTTCCCTCCATTATGAAATTAGGATTGTGACTTTATTTTACCAATTTTTTACTTCTCATGAGCAAAAGGAGGAGTGCCACTGGTAGGGTTTGTGTAGCTCAGTCTGTAGTTTTCTATTTATTTGTCTTGCACCGTTTTTGTCTCTCCTTGACAGAGTAAAAAAGCATGACAAAGGTATGCTGTTTCGGGCTTTGGCGGCGGCGATGTCGTCGTCAACTATGTATTAGTTTGTGATAAGGTCGGTTTATGGGAAACCACTAGTGGTAGGTCAATGATATTTGGTATGCAGTTGTATTAGCATTGGCACATCTCATTTTCATGAGGATTATCTGTCCCCAACCCTTCAGTCATGGTATATTGACTTTGAAACTTTTGCTTAGTTTACATGTATTAGTTTGTGATTAGTAGTTTATGGGGAACCACTAGTGGTAGGTCAATATTTGGTATGCAGTTGTATTAACATTGGTAAACCTCATTTCCATGAGATTGTTTGGCCCTGTACCTTTAGTCATGGTTCATTCACTTTGAATATTTTGCATAACTTACATGTTAAAGTATTACTACTTTAATTTCAACATTTGCATTTTACTATCAAAATATCAAAAAAACAAGACATATCTCTGTATAAACAGTTTATTATTCTTTTATGGCTTTTTGACTATGTTTTTTTTTTGGGCCATAGTTCTGTCTTATTTGACTAATGTTTTACTTTTTAGCCATAGTTCTGTCTTATTTGACTAATGTTTTACTTTTTGGCCATAGTTCTGTCTTATTTGACTAATGTTTTACTTTTTGGCCAAAGTTCTGTCTTATTTGGCCAGTGTTTTATTTTTTGGCCATAGTTCTGTCTTATTTGACTTATGTTTTACTTTTTGGCCATAGTTCTGTCTTATTTGACTAATGTTTTCTTTTTGGCCATAATTCTGTCTTTTTGAATAATGTTTTTCTTTTAAGCCATAGTTCTGTCTGATTTGACTACCAGTAATGTTTTTATTTTTTGCCATAGTTCTGTCTTATTTGAGTAATGTTTTCTTTTTGGCCATAATTCTGTCTTATTTGACTAATGTTTTTATTTTTGGCCATAGTTTTGTCTTTTTAAATATTGTTTTTCATTTTAGCCATAGTTCTGTCTTTTTGACTAATGTTTTTCTTTTTGGCCATAGTTCTGTCTTATTTGACTAACGTTTTCTTTTTGGCCACAGTTCTGTCTTATATGACTAATGTTTTCTTTTTGGCCACAGTTCTGTCTTATTTGACTAATGTTTTTCTTTTTGGCCATGGTTCTGTCTTATTTGACTAATGTTTTTTTTTTGGCCATAATTCTGTCTTATTTGACTACCGGTAATGTTTTTATTATTGGCCATAGTTCTGTCTTATTTGACTAACGGTAATGTTTTTATTTTTGGCCATAGTTCTGTCTTATTTGACTACTGGTAATGTTTTATTTTTGGACATAGTTCTGTCTTATTGGACTATTTTTTTCTTTTTGGTCATAGATCTGTCTTATTTGACTAATGTTTTTCTTTTTGGCCACAGTTCTGTCTTATTTGACTAATGTTTTTCTTTTTGGCCATAGTTCTGTCTTATTAGACTATTTTTTTCTTTTTGGTCATAGATCTGTCTTATTTGACTAATGTTTTTTTATTGTCCCCTTGGTATCTTCCTCCTTTACTATTAAAATTAGAGGTTATTCTTAAAAAAATTGTTTTCTCTCTAAAACCTAAAATGGAGAATTTTATTTTCATTGGTCTGCAAAAAAAGTACCGGTACCATAAGGTACTAAGAAAATACTTTGTGGCAGTGGTGACAATCTGTATCAATATATATATATAACTTAACGGCAACAAAAATAATGGAGATAGTTCATTAGAAAACTTTAAAAAACAGCATTTGTTAAAAAGAATGTGGTTTCTTAAATTTCAGGGTTCCAATCTTAAGCAGTATGGTGCCATAGCACATTCATAATTGAATGATTAATTCATAACACTGTCCCACCCAGATCCTCCCTTATTATGCTGTGTATATGTCAGTTGTACCAATAACCAGTCTGCTATGTCTTTGGTGCCCTGACCGAATGCTGAAGAGATACAGTGCAGATAAAGGCACCTGATTTACACTTATCAGAGTTCAGTAAAGGGACCAAGAAATGCCAACTGGTTATAGTATAAAGAATAAAGTAAACAGACACAGGTTGGGAGAAAGAATCACAGTTTAATATTTTCTTTGCATATCAATAAAGCAATAAACATATTTACAAAGAAAGCAAAATCAAGTTGAAAAACTGTGGTACTCCAAAATAATCCAAACCTGTGATACAGTAGGAGATTAGGTTCATGCAATTGGAAGCCTGGTAATAACAAATACATGCATGACATGCTGAATATAGAAAGACAGGCATGGTACCCTATTCAATAAACAAAGTTTTTTTTTATGGTATATAACACTTATTCTAAGACAAAGAAAAGTGTTGCAAGAATTCATGAGCCTGAATTCAGCACAAGTTACTTCTGAAAAGTAACACTATATCAAAATGTGCCTGTGAGCTTAAATAAAAGAAAACGAAGAGAGTGACATGACATATGAGAAACAAGGTGATGCACAAACAAAGGAGTAGGTAGGCATTCTTTCAGAAAAAATTGACAGTGCTTTAACTCATGCAACCGTGAAACGGCATCAGCCATATCATTCTGCTTCCCTGGCAGATGAATTGCAACAAGTTGAAAATTGTTAGTAGCAGACAGCCAAAACGATTCGCGCAAAAATGACATCAAAAGTTTGTTCTTAGAGGTACACTTATTGATACAACCAACAGTTGATGAATTATCACAATAAATATATACACGCTTATTTTGCCAACATTTAGCCCAACGCTTGGCCGCCAAAGCCACTGCAAATGCTTCTTGCTCATTAATATGCAAAGTTTGCGCAAATGGGAAATCCTCTTTCCAATTTACATAAAACCAATCAGTACCAAAAACTCCACCTGCACCTGTTTTGCAAGCATCAGTATAAACTGAGGTGACAGGATCAGTGTTAAGTAAGAAGGATTTCCCATTAAAAGTGGACATGAAATTGTACCACCAATGAATATCATGCAAAATATCCCCGCATAAGCGCATTTTGTGCCAATCATGCTTAAGCTTCGTAATGCCATCAATGATTCTCCGAAGAAAAACTCTTCCGCCGCGAACCACTGAAGAAGCCCAGTTTAGTTTTCCCGCCAGGGACTGCAGTTGTTTCTTAGAAACATGCTTGCGCTGCTGAAAATCTGCCAAATCTTGCCTTAACTGCTCTAGTTTTGTACTAGGTAATCTTAATTCGAATGTTGTGGAGTCTAT